TGACCCTGTTGTATTGTGTAGCTGCAAAAAGTGGGCAAATTTGTTTTAAACTGAGAATAAATTTGAAACTAAAGCAGCCACTTGGAAGGAATTTCTGGGATAACGTATTTGATTTAACATAATACCTGTGAGCCCAATGCATGGATTTGGATCTCATTGTGCTAATTACGTTGGGAGAAAAGGTGGTCTCTACCCTTTGTATCTTAGTGAGAGGTCTGAAATGAATAGTAGTACAGGGAGGAATACACGAAAGCGGTGGTAGATCAGTGCAGTCAGCTTTCAGTTGCCACATGTTGCTTGTCCCAGCTACGTTGTGCCACAGGTGCAGAAACCTCTCACGGGCCCCTGGCGTGGCAGGTCCTGCCCCGTGCTCCCTGGACCATGAGGGGTTAAGGAGCACAGTGGAAAGGCATCTACTTGCTCAGAATCCGATCATCAGGTGAGAACTCATCCATCCAGGTTTATTAGCTTCAGCTCAATGCTGGCCTTGACATCATGCCTACATTTCTTCCAGTAGAGAAATTCCTGCATTTCTATAATGTGCTTCCTATGTCTTAGGTTCTCAGGAATTTGTTAGTTTAGAGTATCCACTTTGATGATCGGACAATAGATCGTCATCTCAGCAGTGTAGTTACTGTTAAGTATTTACAGGGTTTTTTTTTTATTGTTTCCTTTTGTATTTTAGACATCTCATGGAAGAGATAATAAGAGGAATTTGAGGAAGGTCAGTCAGATAACTAAATGGATATTTGTGGAGTGTCCCTTCAAGCAGGAATAGTGGCATGGGAGAAAATATGAAAATGCATGAGTGCGTATATGACAAGCCGGTATTGGGGAGACGACATAGTACCCTAATATTAGATAAGGGTTGAATAGACTCCACTGAGGCTGTGAACATTTTTGAAAATGAGAGTGATTGTTGTTGTTGTTCAATATAACAAAAGGAAAAACGGCTTTAGAGAATCCAGAGATGAGAGATCTGTGGTTGAAAAGAGCATCACTAACAGCAACATTCACATTGGATGGTGGGCAGGCAGGACTGCATGAAAGGTCAGAAAGGAGAATGTTGCAATGACTACGGCACAATAAAAGAACTCAGGTAAAACTTTGCCTCTGTGTATGGATTTTAGAGCTGATAGGCAAAAAGAGTCTTTAGATGTAATCAGATTGCACCTGAGAGAGAAGAGAATTAAAAATGACAACTGTTTTATGTATGTAAGTGATGAGGAGTTTGGGGAGGGTTCCCTAGGGATGTAAAACACACATTAAAAAGCATGGAAAAGAAAGGAATGCTATGCATGGTAAAGTAAATTCTGAATGCTATCTGGTGAATGAACATCATAGTAATAGAATACAGGGGCCTTTCAACTTGAGAGGTCATGAGGGGACCACTAATTGTTATTTCACTTCATATCATAAAAGCCAATGGTGTTCAGCTTGTCTACAGTAGTCATAAATGACGATTGGAAAATATCTCAAAATGTGAGTGTGCATGTGGGTATATATATGTATATGTACACTGTGTGTGTTTGTGTATGGACATGTGTACAGGTATATGTATCATATACAAAGAGAGACCAAAACATTTATGGGAAGAGCAAACTTAGATGGAAAAGTTGACAAGCTTTTAAGCATACATCATCTTAATCTGCTGAAGGACTTCTGTACCTGAAAGCTTGTTTCTTTCCAGCTTTATCACTTGATCTAATAAAAAATATTCTTTCTCTTTTAGACCATGTGGATTCCTAGACAATCTTGGTTATGACAGTGTTGCTCCTACAATATGTATTTGATCAAAATAGCAAGCAGCAGGGAAAACAGATTAATCCGTTTTGTTTTTCATTTACCTAATGGAAAAAACTCCTCTCCCCACTAAAATGAAGACCGTAATAAGTTGACTAATTACATAAGGCTGTTTTCCTTTATGCTGCCAACACTTTTTTCTTTATGTAACCAAATGTGTCAAGAATTTGAGAAAAGAGTAGTTTTCCAGTGGTGCAGAACTGGCGCGAAGACTTCGTGTGATCTTTTTCAAGTGTTAGAATATGTAAGACTAAGCTAAGCTAAAGTCTTTTGGGAGTGTTTGACCTGTCTTCTCTAACTGTCAGGTTATGTTCGGTTTAAACCTAAAACATATCTCTCCTTTTCCCAGTCCTGTACCTCCTCTTTCTTTATCTGCCGGCCCCTTGACCTGCCATCTCTCCCACATGAATCTGAGGGATGTCGCATCCTTGTAAAATATTTCTCTTCCTTTTTTTTTTCCCCTCTCTGGAGTAATTTGTGTTCTCTGTTAAGAAAGCAGGCAGGGAAAATGAACAAGTTTGCTCTGTAGTGTGCAAGTCTGAAGAAAGATTGTAAATCTTCGGGTCAGGCACTGGGGTAAATTTAACAAAATGAGGCATTGATTGTGCTGATGCAGTTACATTGGAGAAATCAAAGGTATAACTGTCTCCTCGAGGAAAGGAGAATTATACTGTGCCCCAGGCTTCTGAAACAGAACTTAAGGTAGAGACGTTACTGTTGCAGTTCTATTTGTCTTTATCAGTTTGTAATAAGCTAGTTGCTTAGAAATTCTTCTTTCTGCTAGTTTGTGCTCATAAAAAAAGTCACCATTGCAGTGCTCTGTGTACTTGTGTGCGTGGCACGTGCATATGTTTAAATGAGTAAGAGATTCTCTTGTACCTACCTGTAACTTAAAATACAAGCCCAAAATAAAAAAGGATATGCTGCCGTTGCTATTATATTGCTATATTCAATTATTATCAGTGTCTCCAATGTTTTTCTATTTGACTGAAACATGGGCTGTTTCTTTTCTCTGAAAGTTTCCCCACATGTAGATGTGGTAGAAAAAACAGTAGCAGGAGGAGCAGAGGGGAATTCTTCCTGCTTTCCTGCTTCCCCCTAACCTCCACCCCAAAGCCATGCTCTTTCATGGCATATCTTTCTAACGTGTGTGAGCTTGTGTGCTTTGATCTATGGAAGTGTGTGCAAAGGATGACGTGGGCATGATTTCTCTGCTCACACCTGTTTCAGACGATCCATTCTGCTGCAGCTCAGCAGGTAGCAGTCTGTACTGAGATTGTTGCTTTCTTTTTTTCTTCCAACTTGAACAACTATGTCATTCCATTTACCATTTAAATTGTGAGAATATGAAGAGTATGAAGTGTGCTACTAGTTGAGTAACTAAAATCAAGGCTGTCTGTGTAACCTTGGTTCTTGTTAAATGTATGCCTTGCATGGCCAAATTTCTCTCTTGGTTACATAGATGTTCAGTGTGAACACCTGTGTAATTGAGAGCGAAACTTTGTCTGCAGTATTTGGTTACACGACATTTTTTCCTCCCAAGGCATCCCTGACAGATCAGTGTTCATGACAGATAGCATTCAGTGAATGAGGCAGCTGCTTAATTTTTGTCATCGCTGTTGACTGCACAGTCCCTGTGAAACCCTGCATGTATGTTGCAAATCTTTCCATTAATAAAAACTGCATTCTTCTCCTGCAAGGCCTTTTTGACATACTTGAAACTCTCACAAATCTGAGTTACTCTTCTGGGAAGTATTATACCTGTTCACTGAATGAGGAATTGAGACCCAGTGACCTTCTCAAATCAGAAAAGAAATCCCCATCAGAACCAGTCTCCATCAGTTCCAGTTGGAATTTAAAAGTAGTGTAGACCAGCTTATTCACTTCAAATCTGGCCTTTTTATCTTTGATCATGACTTGGTTCAGCAAGGCCATCTCCTGCCACTCATGTTCTGTAGACAAACTAATTTCATGTGCTTTGTAGACTGTGAAAGGAGTAAGGCAAGAGTCCTGAAGAAGCAAATTGTGTCTAGTTGTCTAATCTGGTTTTATTAATCCTGTACAGCACTCAGACTTAATTATAAATTACTTCTAAAACTTCCTTCCTTTTTTTTTTTTTTTTGGTGTAATTTGACATAAAGGACTTCTATAGTTGTAGGGCTATAATAAACAACACATGTATCATTTAACAAGTTTATAATTTTATTATTTTTTTTCGGATAAGACTATGCTAGTCTTATTTCCAAAATTCCATGGGTTTGTGCTGGCCAACAAACCAATTTAGTAAACTGAAGGAGATACAGTACAGTTCCAATAAATATATCGTTAATGGTTAACATTCTTGTTAAGAAATCTGTTTCTATAGTAACTGCTGCAGATTGTCACTTCCTCTAGCATTTGGAATAGTACCAAAGTGAATTTAACACTGATGCTGTGAGGAGCAAATCCTGTGAGAGCTGCAATAGATCACTGCTAGCAGTATGCTTTATTTGGTATTGAGATGTATGAACAACACAGTTCAGTAACCATAGATGGTGTTCATGAACTATTTCTTCTCACCCTTTATTCCAATGCTCTGTGTGCATTTGCTTTTTTTCCTTCTGTGCAAACACTAGTCCTCATTTGAATCTTATAAGAAGGGCACATAAAATACATAGATATGCTTCAGATTTCAAGTTTAAGTGTGTGTGCATGCATATGCTACTAATTTTTCAATGTGAAGAGATTCGCCACATGTCCTTTTCACTAATAAAGAGGGAGTCGATATGAGGCAAGTGTGTATGGCTGAAACTTTAAAACAAAGCCCAGGTGAGTTTTAAAGGGTATGTTTGTCTTGTCTTATACTAGCACTACGTTTCTTCTCTGAAGCATAGCGAAGAGAGATTTTTCTTTTGTTTATAGGAGTGTGTATCCTCAGATGAAGTGAATTATTTTAGTGGCCGTGTATTCTGTGTCGGTGTATGTTTATATCTATTTTGGTTTGTCTTTTGAGTTGAGGCTGCACTGAGCAAACTCATGATCAAGTGAAGTCTGAAACTTTTCTAAGGGGAGGGGAAAAGGCTTGAGAGGAGAGATATGTTCTTTTTAGCAATCCCAATCTGGCTGCTGGTGTAATTCTGAGAGAAATAGAACTTTGTTTTTGCAATGAGCACGTGGAGATGTTACAGAAACTTCCTTCTTCCTTTATGTCTTTCCAGATGGATGAGATAAAAGGCAAAGACAGAGTAATTCTAGCTCTGGAGAAAGACATCGGTGTCCAGGCAGGCCATACACAGAAACTGCTTCTTCAGAAAGAAGCTTTGGATGAACAGCTTGTCCAAGTGAAGGAGGCAGAACGATACCACAGTAGTCCTAAGAGAGAGCTTCCTGTGGGGGTCGGGGATATCACTGAACTGATGGGAAGCCCGGTAAGAAAATTGTGTTTTCTTCAAATGTGCAATGGGATAATTGCTGCCCATGTGTTCACATTGGTTTTGTGGTTGCTTTTGGAATACTAGAAGGACTAATTCATGGTAAACGGCCCTGCAGTGCACGGTGCTGTTTCACTAATGATTTAGAAACTCCTTGGATCTCTTGTATTTCAAAGAATGTTGAAAAATATGTGGATATTGAACTTTTAGAATTTACATTGTGAACTCCATTATTTTCTTAGCTATTTATTTTGTAACTTTAGTAATTACTTTAACCAATGGCAAATAGATGCTATACTTTTCAAAAACTGTGCCATATGATTTTAATCTGTCTGTGCACTAGATTTTTTTACTTTTAGCTGATAGTAAGAAATCCGATGAGAAGCAGCCAGCAATAGGTGAAATATTATTTATCTATCTTTTTTTAAAAAAAAATGTTAAACCTTTACATACATTTCTCAAGTAGACACTTTTCATGTAAGACGTCATGTAGCATTTTCACAGGATGTTATTGTTCAGTGTTTCAGTTAATTAAGATAAGTTTTCCAGACACTGATGTAAAGAATCTATTTTAAATGTATACAATCCACTTACTAAACTATGATATTTAATTTAAGGATAGTAAAATATTTTTCAAAAGGTAATTTTATATGTCTGTATGTTTTTGATGTAAAGGAGCCGCATTTGGATGAACGAGATGTGCGGAGATTTCAGTTAAAAATCGCTGAGCTGAATGCTGTAATAAGGAAGCTAGAAGACAGAAATACTCTTTTAGCAGATGAAAGAAATGAACTGGTAAATTAATTAGTAATAACACAGATGGTGACTGGGAGGGCGTCTTTATGGTAAAAGATTTAATGTTGGAAAGTCAGTGTAATAAATAATTTACAAATTAGTCCTGGTTGGCTTCAATCAATTGTATCTAAATATAACAGAGATTTCTACAGAAATTCACTTTGTGACCATAAAAGACATGGATGGAATCTCTCTTGTTCTAGAAAAATAAAGCTTTATAAATTTATTTTGGGGTCATTGTAATCAAATTGACTGCTAGCTTGCCTGTGGCACTGTGTAATGATGTTGTGTAAAACATGCATAGTCAATGCGCTTAAATTACTGTATTAACCTTTTTGAAATTTGACATTGGTTTTGTGGCATGCTTATACTAGCTAGGAGTTAAAAAAGCTTTCTTGTGCTGGAGATGAAAAATCTGCCATTTCTCAAGGGAAGTCTCATAAGTAGGTGAAATTATCCTAGGAGAGTGATAGTAACTTACAAAAGAAAGGATATGACAAGAATTTTAAGAATGAATATTATTAGCCTGCATTGCTACTTTATTGCTTGTACTGAGGTTAATGGCAAAACTCACATTGACTGCAATGGGAGGTGAGCTTTAACAATAAGAATTTTTACACCTGTCCTCTTATCATGTGCTACATCTAATGGCAGAAGAAAAGATTTTTTCATTCTAATTAGATTGAAATTTTCCCTCATGCAACCTGTGTATCTGATTCTAAAATAATGCTATTATGTATGGTGAGGGCAGAAGGGGAGGGCACTCTTGCCATGTGTCAGTCCTATAGATGAGTGAGGCATTGACATCTTTCCCCTTGCTTTGTCAGACTTAGCTCTTCATGTTAAGAAGGTTTTGCTTTGTGATAAAAGGACTTAATTTAGTTATGACATCTCAATGATTATTGGAAGAGCTAATTTTTGAAATTTTCTTGTCCAACATCTTGGCTGAATCTATAGTGAAGTCAATTGAACAATGCTAGACTAAAAGGGGATGAATTGAGAACATAATTGTGTCTTTTTCTTAAAAATTTTCCTCTTTAAATAACTGTATAGTTAATTGCCTTTCCATATGAAAAAAACTGACCCCTTATTAAACATTTTAAGTTTCTTGGGGTAAGAACAACATGCGTTTTAGCCTGGGTACAGTTTGCCATTTTTCCTACTTTGCCTATGTGCTGTGTGTTTTTGTGTTTTCTTTTCTTCCCCCCTCACTTTTACTGCTACAGTTGCTTTTCTCAGCTCTATAATCTCAAGAACATCTTGCCTTTTTTCAAGATTGCATTATGTAAAGACAAGATAATTCAGCCTCCTAATTCTTTCTGTGGACATAAGTCATTCAAAACGTCCTTGAAGAATGCTGAAATACTGCAACATCTATCCTTCAGTGTCCTTCTAGATGGAGGGCATGTATGACTCAGTCAAGTGCTGTTCTTGATGCTTGACTTAGAGACATAAGAAGTGTATTTTGGAAAAGATATTGAGAAGGTTTTGTCATGTTGTGAGACGATATCACATAAAACCAGTAATATCAGTAAGCTCGTATGATTAAGCACTGTGAAAAACAATTTTCTTGTGAGAATGAAACAGAAAACCAAACAGTCAGTGAAATTATCTCAGGAGAAAGATTATCTTTTTCTCATTTCCAGTTAAAACTCAGTAAATTGAAAAATCTTTTGATTGGAAAATACAGATTTTTTTTTTTTTTTTTTACAAACAACACAACTCAAGGATTAATGAAATAAAAAGAGTGAAATATTGAATACACACAAATGCAAGAAAGGACAGTAATTTGCTTCACATAATTGTCTAACATCATAAAACCACAGGAACAAAACTGAGCAGCTTGAAAATGTCAGCAGAATGCTGAGATTGAATCTGTGCCCTCTGGCTGAGTTTCTCGTTGCTCTAATTACACTTTAGGTATAGGGTTTTTTAAGTGGAGTAGGAAGAGTTTACTCCTGCTAAGGGATAGTCAAAATTACTACCCTAGAGACCTATTTGAACACAAGACGCTTATACACAATGAGATTAATTTATCAAGAAATCACTTTTGTGAATCATTGTAAGTGTTTTCCAAGAGCCAAATGCAGTGACCAGAGCTATTGTTTTTGTAGACTGTACAAAAATGCTGTTTATTGTTTGTTTGGACTCCTGTAGTTGTTAGTCCAGCAGTAGTTTATAGCAGATGTCACTTAACAAAAGAACTAAACTTTCTGAATGATGGCAGAAGGCAAGTGAAAACACACGTTTCTTCTTTCCAACAAGTATAAACTGAAGCACAGCTAACTTGGTTCCTTTGCCATTTGCAGCTGAAACGTTCTCGGGAGACAGAAAGTCAGCTGAAGCCTTTGGTGGAAAAAAATAAGAGAATGAGCAAAAAAAATGATGATATGTTACAATGTATCCAGAGAATGGAAGAGAAAATAAAAAATCTATCAAGGGAAAACGTAGAATTGGTAAGTAATCATCTCTGACATCATGTTATAAGAACACATTGCACACAGTTACTTTTGAGGCAGAAGTACTTGTGAGGCTTTGACTCTAATACAGGCAGTTCAGAGTCTTAAATTCAGCCCGTGTAACTGAATATTCATACTCTGAATTCAGAGTGGCACGTGCTTTGTGTTGTATCAATTCTTACTGATTAAGAGAAGGGATCACAGATAGATAAAATGTGTTTGGAGGCTATAAAAGTATGTGACTACAAATCAGCTTTAATGAATGCTGCTTTTATGATTAGAAGTCAGAACTGAATTTGAGTGCATATGCCAAAGGCTCTACTGTTAGATCATTGAGTTCACTTGTCTGTTAATTTTATCCTAGACTGTATTCTTTCATCTCTTTTAAAATATCTTATATGAAATATTAACACTGAGGCATACAGAATGTGTAACATTTTTTTGTTGTTGAAAGAGGCTTCATGTTGTAGTGGCGTATGCACTGATGAGTCTGAAGAGTTCTTGATTACTACATCATGCATGAGAATTTCCCTCCTGTTCCAGCAAGACACTTTAAAATGTTCTTTATGTTTATTTTTTTTAATTGTGTTTTAATTTTCATAGAAAGAGAAGTTATCTGCACAACCAGCACTGAAGAGGCACACTTCTTTGAATGATCTCAGCAGCACACGGGAGGAACAAGAAATTGAATTCCTTAGACTGCAAGTCAAAGAACAGCAGCATGTTATTGATGATCTCACAGTGGTAATGCTTATGACTGGTATACATACATGCATGCACACACACCTATAGGCAAGCTAAAGATTTGAGAGCAGTGTTTTAGCTCCAGTTGTTGTAGCGATGCAGAAATAGTTCTTTGGCTTCAAAAGGTTTTTGTTATTTCTCAAATTGTGAACAAATTTATTTGGAATGTGTAATGATCCTCTGTATTATAAAATATTTCCCTATTTTGAGCTGCTTGTGAAAAGAAGTGCATCAGTCCCTCCACCTCACTTAAAAAATTGGCTGTAAACAACTGAGGAACTTGGAGGAAAAGACACGTTTCAAAACTTAATGACTGAAACGTGTTGGATGAGTGCAAACTCATCCACTCTCTTGATCTAGAAGTTGTCCTAAAATAAAGGAACATGCAGGATGGCATTCATTTCACCTAGTTAAGCAGCTCTGAGGTGGCCACACTAGCTGTTATAAGAAATGGAGAGAAATATGCATGATCATCCAAATGAAGGTAGCAGCATAGTTTAAGATTAGAATTTCACAGCTACTACCCCCTGACTGTGAAAACCATGCAAGATGATGTTCATGGATGTTTGCACTGTTTGATCAGACCTGTTTTGAGTTGTGTTAGAGTTGTCCAGTGCTATTTAGAGCAACGTGTGATAAACTCTTCTGGTGCTGGCAGAAATGATGAGAGACTCCTGCCCTTCTGGAGCAGTATCTGGAACTCAGGCAGGCTATTCTAGAGCATCTCAAATAGCACTACTGACTGCTAAAAAATGATAAAACAAATTTAAGATCATTCTGTCTAAATAAAAAAATAAACAATTGGATACAGCATTGCCAATAAAAACAGAAGATCAAAAAAGATAAAGCAACAAGATGTGTTACTGCTCTGTCTAGAACATTGTCTCTGTTCTTGGCTGTTCCTCTGAGATTTTGACCCAGGATTTCTTTCTGTAATCAGTGCCAAAGATTGATGTCTGCATGCATTCACCAGTGTCATAGTGTTACAAGCAGTAGGATGTTGCTCAGACACTATGATGTAGTGTCTGATTCACAGAGCAATGCTGCTTTGCCTTCCAAATACAACTATAAAGGTAGGGACTATGACACGATATAAAATCCTCAGTATATGGCAGATACAACCTCATTTATATTTCAGTGTAAAATGGGTATGAAAGGACTCTCTTTTTACTGGCTCAGCCAGTAATCTGATGAAATATATTGTATTCTGTCTTCGGTCAACTAGTATTTACTTGTGTTTAGTGTGAAAGTAAAATAAATAAATATTTTAAAATGTGGTTTCATATTTGCTTTGTTTCCTATTTAGAGATACTTTTTCATTGTCAGAAAATTATCCATCAGCTAAATTGTTAACTAGGATACTGCTTTGGTTGGCAGTACAAACTAATTGATGCTTCGCCTTCAATATGAATGCAGTGGAACTCTGCACTTCTGTTGTGCTTTTCAGCTATCTTTTTCTGTCTCAAGCCACACCTCTACAGAATACAAATGTATCAGAATTATCAAGAATGACCCACATGTCACGCACCTGATTAATACAAAAGTCATCAGCTTACCTCCAGCTGAGTCCAGTATGATATACAGAAATAAGAATGGTAGTCTTAGGCAACAGGGTTGTCTGAATTGATTAGTGCTGTCGTTTGTAGCGTATTCAGGATTTTTACTGTCGTTTGACGCTGTTGAAACCGTATAAACTTGAGTTCTCCACGACAGTGGTTTTCTGGTCAGTTCTTAAAAGGGAAGATGACAAGATAGACTCAGAAGATTGCAAAAGATGCTAGTGATTCAGCAAATGGTGTTTTTTAATTGGCATTATGATTGTTCTACTAGCCTTGTGTATTATTAAGACAGTAAATTAAGCAGTCTTCTTACAAACAAGATTAGAAACAGGAAGGACTGGGGGATTTTCAGTGTTTGTTCATTCTGCACTGAAGTGAGAGGAAAAGAAAGACAGAGTGAGAAGACTAGCCAGTTTCTCCAACTGTTTGGACACTTGCTTGGGATGCAGGACACCTGGGTTAAGGCAGGGACTGTGCCTTAACCACTTACCTGAGGAGGGAGCATTATTCTTCAACACTTTCTAAAATTCAACTTTGTATTTTCAACTTGAGATTAATATATTAATTATTCTGCAACTTGAAATACCTACTCCGTTCTACCTTGACAGTCATGACTTTTCCTTATTCTGAAAACCACGTTTTAAACGTGCTATATAATTCATTGTGCTTTTCTGAATTATTTTGTATTTTCCAAAACTTTGTTCCTGGAACAATGTGCTGATAAAGATGAATATTTTTATTGTGATTTCTGCTGGGAGCTTCCTATTTTTCCAGTTTCTGAACTGAGTATAAAACAAATAACTGAATAGAATAATGCCATGCAGTTAGCAATAACTGCTAGAGGAGAATTTGGAACTGCTATCATGCTTTTAAAAACAGAGGTGTTGCAAACAAAGATGCAGAGCTAAGGAAAGAATCAGGAAAAAAGCAAGGAGAGGGATCACCTGCTTCCTGTGTGTTTTTTTTGCTTGTCCTCTTCTTTGCATTTTTTACCTTTACTTTCTCCCCTTTTCCTTTGGAATTCAAGGCAGTATTCTTGATCTTGAATGTTCATAAACCCTGCATTTTTCCATTTATAACCTCCTCATATTGTGAAGTAGTTGATTTTGATCTTGTTCCAAGGTCACAGTAGAAAAAAGGCACTAAGTTGACGCAGACTAAGTGAGAGTGCCTTTGGATTTGAGACTTTTGCCCTACAAGGATGAGTCATGTGTAACACTGTATCTGCATATGCATGGTTGTATGTCAGAGTATGCCTGATATAATGACTTGTAGTTACTAAGGCTGGACTCATTTTTGGCTACGGATCGGCTTCTTCAGGATGGTTGTACGTTGAGTGAGAACGTGAATTCTGTTTCCATAGTGAGCTTCTTGGTAAAAGAGTCAAAGGAACTTTCAGAAATCTGTGCCCAGTATTTAACAAAGCTTTTTCTTGCCAGCTTCCCATCGGGTGTGTAAAGTATATGGCTGAAGGTTTGTTTGCTCAAGGGATAAAGCTGCAGTACAGTATGGTGTTATACCAATGTGGTGTTATTCAAAAGGATAAAGACGTTGTCTTTGAGTTAGCTTTACCATAGGCTTCAAGAAAATTTGAATATCTCTTTGTGCTAGACGTATATACCTAAATACATATTTTAAAAGAAACTTGCACCAAAATATTCTCTTTCCTTCTAGGAAAGGGAACGGTTGTTACGATCTAAAAAACAGAAAAGGAAAAGTCTGAAGCCTCCGAAGGTGAGCAAACTTTCAGTTTTCTGTGTGTTTTGGTTGTGAACAGCGCTTGTGTCAAATATTGCCTGAAATCAGAGCTCTACTTAAACTAACGGTAAAATTGCATATAATTCTATTTTTTCTAGTGAGTGCTTATTAACTTTTCCTTAGGATAATTCAGGAGCTGCAGGTTTTATACTGCACACAAGTGTTGCTGTTTTGATTTTTGTTTTAAATAAACAATATAATTACACTTCTAGCCATTGTGGCCTAAATATTCAAGTGGCTTGAGGTCTAAATGATATAATGACTTGAAACAACTACCATTTCAAAGAACAAACGCTCAGTCCTTTTTAAAGAAAACACACTCTTCAAACTACTCGTGCCAAGTTACTGCTTAATTGCAATTGGAAACTTTAACTCATGTTAGGGATGTTATTGAAATGATATTTCTGTATGTGATATATAAATAGTAAGAAGATTCTGTTTTTCTCTGGTAACTATTTTGCTGTAGAATGCAAAGTACAAGGGAAAAATACAGATTGTAGAAATAGAAAAGTTTTGCTTCACAGTATACCTGTAGTGTTTATTTAGAATCCCTTCCAACCCAAACCATTCTATGAATCTATGATTGTGATATATGCTTAAAGTAATGAATTTTGCTAAATGTTTTTTGTGAAGTTGAGCGTTAGCAGCCTGTTGCGTGTGAGAGGAGAAGAGTGGGGTAAGAGAGGAAAAAAAGGAAGTGAACAGTGGAGAGGTGACTATCATCTGTATGGTAGCTTAAGATACGTTCTGTCACACATGGGTGCTGGTTGTCAGTGTGTTTTGTGTAGTATATTCCTGGTGACCTCCAGGTGGTGCTTGCTTATTGCTCTGTGTTCGGTAATACCCATATTCTGAAAGATTTATCCTTTGGGATTCTCTGTTTCAGCACTGATTCCTTCAAATTATGTTTTGAGTGAGCATGTGTCTTTTACATATGAAGGGAGAAAAATTCAGAAGTAATAATAAATCTTGCATACGTTTTTCTGTTATGTAATGGAAGGCTGATAGACACCGAATATATTTACAGTAACCCTAAACCATTCTTTCTTGGTGTAGTATACCTGGAAGTTTGTGTGTTGAGAGTGAGTTTAAAAATGGGACATAAAATTAAATATATATATATGTGTGTGTAACTAATACTGTAATTTTTTTATAGTCCTCTCTAATTATTAGCCTTTATCCAATTTTAAATTAATTGCGTAGATCTTTTGCCGAATTGTAAGGTTCCTAATGAAACAAAACCAGTTAATTTAATTTTTTAGGAGTTGATAACTAGTGATGCTAATTTATATAGGCTGAAAAGTTCCATAATTATGGATTTATGTCTTAAAAATATTCTGTGTTAATAGAACTTCAGCTGATCTAGACTCTATATCCTTTCCTTTTGCCTATTTTCTCTTGAGCGATCTGCTGTTTTTGCAGTTTCTACTACTTCTTTTCCTTATTGACCAAAGCAATGATTAAATGAGTTAAATGACATGAAGGTTGGAAAAAACGTGCATAGTACCACGAAAAAATTTGTGGCAGTGCTATTCTTTATGTGGTAAGAGTACTGTATATTGGGGACTTCTGCAGAGATTATTGCAAGAATGGTGTGTATATTAGCAGCTGAGTTAGTAGGGGTTTGCTTCTTAGTTATGATAGATACACCAGAAAAAACAAATTAATCAGTAGCAGAGATAACTCCCACTTGTTATTTCATACCCTGTCTGTTAGCTCATTGATGCCCATACGAAATTGACCATTTGAAGTTTTATTTGATGCTATCGCCTCTAAGGAAAAGCATGCCTATAAAACAAAAACAAGTGAAAAAAAGAAATAAAGTTGTGAGAGAAGAGTGAATGACATTATATATGCTATACTAGTTATACTATATATACTATGCTAGTTATTATATAACTATATGTAGTTTCTAAATCAGCTAATCCCTTAAGGAAGGGAAGAAGTCATCAATAATATATTTATTAGTGTCCTATTACCTGCCATCGTGTAAACTTGTAGGCTATTCACCTGTGTATGCAGTGTTAACTTGGAGTTCAACGCTGTTGATGTTGGCTTCTAAAATTCCAGTCCTGGCATACAGGCTGGTTTCCTTCCAGATCACCTGTGTGGTCCTGTGAGGATCAAAATCCTCAAGGGAAGCTGCATTTCCCACAGTTTTCCAACAGTTTTTTATTTAAACAATCTTTGTAGAATGGGCTGCTTACCCAGATGAGATTGTACCATCTTCATGCCCTCTGTTTTTACAGCCTATTTTAGGAATTCAGATGAAAATGATCGAATTCATTTAACCACTCATTTGCAATTTTAGTGTTTACAATGCTTGGTTAGATGCCATTAACAGAGGTAAGATCCAGAGGTCCATCTCACTCTGGACAAAGTGGTAACATTAAATGGTGATTGTTCTCCTCTGGAAGTAGATATCTAAATAAGCCATATGAGTTTTGTCCCAGAATTGGCTATTTCTCCCCATGGATTATAATGGCAGTCTAAGGTGAGTTGCTTTATATATAGACATGTACAGTGCAAGTGTACTTCTGTCTATGATTTGTGCAAGATTTTTATATCATACAGATGATAACCTATATATAATAGTAGAAGAAATTATGGATGTTTCTGTTCTAACCAACCACTCAGAAGGAGAAATTACTGACATAAATCTGTGGCTTTGCTTTTCTAAGATTTGTTAAATGTAAAATTAGCATTAACACAGTGAATTATCGAATTTGGCTGTCGAAATTGAATCTATTTCCAGCAGTGTTCCTCTTTCCTTGATAAAGTCAAAAAGGAAATAACTGATGAGAATTAGGTTTCATGAATGTGGTCAGATAAGCTTGGCTACAAGGTGTGGAAAGATTCCTTTTTTGTTCTAATAAACGGGAACTTGGTGCACAGGGTGAAGACTTACACTCATTTACTGTTGCAGCTTCTCCTAAACAAGTACCTTTACAGTCCCGATTCCTTATTTTTCGAGGTTCTCTGACTGGTTTACTTACTGTCTGTGTTTGTTTATTAATATGAGTATTTTCCTGACAGTGGTTGCTGTTAGCTGGAACAGAATCCATGGCGTGCCTTTCTCTATCCTTAAGACAGCTTGTGTGAATGATCTGTCAGGCCAGTCCAGCAGCCTTTATAGCCTGATTGGGTCTAAATAACACCAGTTCAGCTGAGAAGCTTTTGAAAATACCAAGGATTTTTTTTAGTTTATTTTATTTTTTTGCATTTTGATGTCTATGTTATTTCTGGAGCTCTGTATGTGCACTAGGTTACTGTTGCTAGACTAAGCACTCATTTAATTACCAAGGGGCATAGGAGTCCATAGAACAGCGCTGGCAACCGGCTTGGGTTCCCTGAGGAAAGAGGCTGCATAGTGGGATGGGTCTTTATAACCTCTGTGGCTTTAAGGTGTTTAGAGGAGTAATACAATGACTCCATATAGTCAGGTACCGTAGAATAGTTTTCTCTGAAGTGAAGCAGCCTAAGTTGATAGATGTTTATTTTTCTTACATTAACCTGCCATTGGACTTGTTAGGAAAAAGACCTACCAGAGGTGAATCTTTTTTTGCTGTTTAAAGTATGCTTTTTCCCAGGTGTTTTTTTCTTTTCCTTTTTTTCCGAGTTTTGGTAGTGAAATAACCAAGAAGCTCTGGAAACAGTATTTTTGGAGTTTTGTTTATTTTGACATGTAGAATGGAGTTACAATGATTCCATGATTGATGGAGTCATGCATTGGAGAAAAAGGCATAATTGCCCAGTTTGTTTGTAAACGGCAGGACTCTACGGATTTGATTCCTTATTTAGACTTTAGTAAATAAACTGTATTCGAGAAAGTGGAAAACCTGCACACTGGTGTGATGGAGTTCATATTTCTTGTTTTATATTTTTCTTTTTTTATCTGCCTCTGTGCTTTGGTGTGCCTGTATTTTTCTGGCTGCCAAGAAATGACATATAAGCATGAAGGTAAGAAGTTACTGATTAGCTCATCTGATTGCATTAAAAGGAAATTCATCTTGGATCGTTTTCGTCATGTTACATTAAGTATTTGAAAATGAGTTATTTAAATGCAAAATGAAACTACTTCAGCAACAGATAAATCAGATTATGTATATGTAAGTATGTCTAATCCAAGCCATTAAAAATATGAAGGTATATTGAAATTTGCATATAATATGATCTATGTGTCACTACTGATTTGTAACATTCTAAACTTCAGTGTTTACTGAGTGCCATGCTTCAGTAGAAGAGTTAATACTTGAGTTATAAAGACCTAATGCGTAATTTTACTTTAAAATTATGTGAAAGCATTGATACAAATCCACATGAAAAATACTATAAAATGCGTGGCAGTAGTCAGTGGAAATTAGAATTTAAATAAGAATTTTTTAGCAATTCACATGACTGTTTTCTCAGTTTGGAAGTAATGATTTAGAAGTAACAAATGTACAAATCAATATAAAAGAATCTTTAAGTTGTTAATTGAGTATGTTCCCATTTTTAAGAAAAGTTTGAATGAAACTTGAAGGAAAAGAGTGTAGAGTCACAAAAATCCAGTGAGTATTGTACATGTTTGTATGTAGTTTTCAAAAAACTTTGTGATTCAACTTTTGAGCTATATGTGGAATCTCCCTTGGAGCTGATGTATTTATTTATGCCTTATTATTTATTACAGTGTTTATCAACAAACTTTGTATGAATCAGATGTCTTTTTCTTCCTTTTTTCTCTCTACAGCTGTTCCCTTACCAGTTAATTTGTTCTGGTTTTGCTGTGAATCACTTCTTGTAGCTGGTTGCTTCATATACTAGATGATCATCTATAAAAATCAGCTATTTTGTGATTATGTCATGAAGCAATTCATACATGTGCAATTAATATACAATGGTTAAATACCTTATCCCCATTTCTGTGGAAAGTATCTGCTCCACAAAATGATAAATGTACAGCTTCTCTAAAGGGAAAGGAGTCATTAAAAATAAATAAATGCTGGATGGGTCATCTTCTGAGGACTAATTACACCTCAGTTTTTGCGGCAAACCTTTGTACTTATGAGAGGGGAGTCTGGTATGTTTGTAATTTGAGTGTGAGAGAACATATTAGCTTTCTGGATAATTCTTTATATTTCTAGCATAGAGCTTAAACCTGTTCCCCATGTCTTTTGTTTTGTGAAGTAGGACAGAATGGTGAACAAACTGGTGTAGCATGTGAATGCTGGAAGAAAGGATTAAATTATCCTAGAGAAGTGTTTGTCTTAAGCACCTTAGACATACCTTTGCTTGGTGAAAGGATCCCAGTGCTTCCAAAACAACTGAGGGAAGAGTAATGTATCTTTACAAGGTTTTAGTACTATAACTGTGGTCCTTTTATTTTCCTGATAAATACACTAAACAGTAGTCTAGTAGCTTGCAAAAGGAAGGTTTTTGCTAAAGATTGTTCAGAAACTCTTTACCTTCTGTGCTGCATCATATTTATTTGTATGCATATAGACAAAAACAGACTATTTGGAAAAGATGTGGCTTTTGGGTGTTGTTTTTTTTTTCATCCTTCTGGAAGATTTTAGTAGAACCAGTTAATTTAAAAATGCAATCTGAATGAAATTTTGAAATTATTATTTGAAGGGCTCTTTTAAATGAATCAATTAAGTGGTTCAGAACAGAACCTGGAAGCTGACTTTGGTAGTTTGAGTGGGATTAGCTATACTGTAAAACAATTATGGAGTTGTTTAGCCTATGAGGGATGAGACTGTGACATGGTAGATCGTGGTAAGCAGAGCTGCAGGCTGTAAATGGAGTGCATGGTGTCGTGCGTGCAGACACCGAGTCACACCTGTGAGCCTGATTTTATGGTACCACTTGAATCAAGGCAGAGTATTTTGACTGTTAATGAGAGCTGTGCTGAACCAAAAGAATATATTAAGCATTATGGGGCTTTGTGAGAAAGTGAAGATAGTACTTTGTAGACATACTGGAAGAATATATAAATTAGGTAAGTCTAGAAGACTGCAGGGAAAGGTAAATACTTGGAATTCATCATTAGATAGGACATTATAGATAAAATAAAGCCTTTCAGTATCTTGAATGAAATTGATAGCTCACAATTCCACTCACGTCGCCAGTTTGGCTTTGCTGAGCTGTAAGATATCTGATGTTCTGAATTAATAACAACTGATAATTTTTTTGTCCTTTAGGCTTTTTTAATGAACAGTGCTATTATGTTCTCACATATAACCTGTGGTTTATATAAAAAAAAAAAAACCAAAAAAACCCCGCAAACTGTGACATCAGGATCTATGAGTCAGCATCAAGCAGTGTCAAAAAATATAGAGATAGACAGACAGATTTTTCTTCGTCTTAGAGCCGTGTCTCTCCACTAACCTCCCTGTCTAGAATGCTTCATGACCTGACTTCATTTTTCCAGCAAATATGTGGGTTTTTTTCCTTCTGTTAATTCTCCTGCTTCTCTGAATTTGTGTTGGATTATTAGAACACTTGTATAGTATAAAAAGATAGACTTTGTATTGATTGATAACAGTTAACATTTGTTATTGATGTTTTGGAAGGAAACATACTTGAAAAACTGTTTTTCTGGTTAAATATTTAAGCATTTTTTTTAATAGTGGAATTTTCTATGGAAATTTGCTTCCTGAGCACATGTTAGGAAATTGATGGAAAGGAGGCTCTTAAAATGGTGAAAGAGTTATTGCAGTTGTGATATTTTATAAAAAATATCACATTTTTTCATAATTAATATTGTACTATTCTCTTTGATTGGCTACTTGTTTTCTCTATTTTTCTGTAAGCATGCATTTAATTGATTACATTGTGTAAAATTTTTAAAATCTACATGGAAATGCTGGTTTTCCCTAAGCATAGTTTTTTTTGGTTAGTCATAATATTGGAGCAAACTTTTGAAAAAATTTGGAATGATGGTACTGAAAAAATAAATGAAAAGCAGCAATTTATACTCTTAAGTAGGATTTTGCAAATTAGATTTTATAAATTAAACTTTTTTTCTTTTTGAAAGTTAGTATGAATTATGAAATTGTTCCACATTGTTCTTTGGAATATTTTTCCCTCTTGGTTCCACATCTTATGTGTTGCATCGTACTGGGTTACTTTCTTTTGAATAGATATTGCATTCCTCTGGTGTGGATCTTGTAAGATCTGTATGGTTTCAGTAATTAGCTTTTATGCTTTTGCTAAAGCATTATTCTATTGGCAATTACCCAGTGCTATATGCAGTTCAGTTCTTGGAGGTTCTTATACAAACGATGTTGAAAAAGTAGCTCATTTAATCAAAGAGCAAGGGTTTACAATGGAACCTTTTTGCTTCCTAAATACTAAAACAATGGTCAGAGAAGACCTTGGCAACAGCCTGCTGAGTCATTGAGGTTTTTCAACTGTTTTACTAGTAACTAAAAAAACCTAACTTTTCAGAGGCATGTTGTGGAGACATTTTTTGGATTTGATGAAGAATCTATTGATTCAGAAACATCATCTGTAACTTCATATAACACAGATAAAACAGACAGGACACCAGCAACACCAGAAGAAGATTTGGAAGATGTAAGTAGTAGCTGATTTGTTCTTAAGTTCTATAAAAATTGACATGGAGTATAAATGCAAACATTTTTTTTCAGCCATTCTGCCACTGGAGCTATGAAAGATTTGGCATAGAATTGCTTTATTTTAAGTCCAGGAACACATACGCAGTCATTGCAGTAGAATAAGATAGATAAGATAATATTCTGCCTGACAGATTTAGCAGATATTGGACTGAGAAATAAAATTGTTTTTCTCAAAGCCTGCTTTATTTGTCAAAATAAAATGAATAGGCATGTTGCTTTGCCAAAAGTCAATGGTTGCTAGACAATAGTTTGCCTTTCAACCTTATAATTTATTTGACTGTTTTGATACAACCAGGATTTTCTTCCTGTACTTAACAATACTCAGAGAGACTTTTGCAATTCGTTAAGGCTTAAATGATCATAGGTAGTAAATACCCACTGACATGTTTTGTCTCAGCTCTGTGATATACAGTGCAGCTGGCCTACTTTAAAAGATTGCAGGGCTGAGGACAAAGCATGAGTTAGATGCTCTTTTTCATCTTTCTTTCCTGTTCACTAACTTGTGCCTAATACTCCTCAGTTGCAAGAAGCTTTGTATTTTTCTAGGTTTAATATCTAATGCAATCTCTTTTCCTTGGAGCTCAAGTTCCTGGAGCAGAAATTAATTAAAGGGAAGGACATTTCTTGCCCTCAGCATTATAGGAAAGACCTTGAAAGTGTTGATGTCAGTTCCTCAAAATTCAAAGACAATTAAGGCATTAAAAGTACTTCATGTTAAAAAAAAATTTTAAAAATTATGTAGCTTTTGAAATACAGCTTCTGTGTTAGTGTGCTTGTGCTGGTAAATTACTTCACCCTGGCATTGTAGAGAAAAAGAGTAAGGAGGGAGTGATGGGTTGCATGACAAATAGAACAAACCGCTGCTGAAGCCTCTGTGGCTCTGGAGCTGCTGAAGACAGTGGTGCATAGAACTGTTCCCTCTCATCTTTCCTCAGTCAGTTTCTTCCCATTTCTACACTTTACTGCCTTATGTAGTAACTTACACTGTCCTGAAATTGTAAGGTAGACAAAGTTACTGATCTCTGCATTTCTGTGTCATCCTCAAGTCATCCTTCCTTCCATTTCACTTGTTTTAGTTTTTTAAATCTTTATTAAACTTTGAGACTGTGTATGAGTTGTGTTACTTGTCGTGTTTGTGAGTCTGTCTATATAAACGAACCCATTATCATATATATTTACACAAAACCACTTTTTTTTTTTTCCCTCTTCATTAAGAGTACGCCTAAAGAAGAAGCTGAACTAAGGTTCTGCCAGCTGACAAGAGAGTATCAAGCTTTGCAAAGAGCATATGCATTGCTTCAAGAACAAGTTGGTGGAACTCTGGATGCAGAGAGAGAAGCAAGGGTAATTTTTAAACTGAAATTTCTTTTAACTCTGAAGTCATTGAAAAAGCTGAAAAAACTTGGAGTAGCAGGAGATATCTTTGCAGGTCAGTCAAATGCAAAGCACAATGTTTTTGAGGATTAGAGGATATTATCAGTCAGATGAGAATTTATGTTCATCTGGTGCAATCAGAACAAAGATATCATCATACTTTATTCTGGCATGCATAATATATTAAAGATTTCAGTACTAAGACAGTGTTATTGAGAATGATATCCCAACTGAACCTGCAATTTGAATAGCAACATGATGCATTTAAATGAATTGGGGAATAAGTTGTTATAAGTACTTAGGTACTTTTGTCATAAGAGTATATTAAAAACCTGACCCAAATTTGACAAAGGAATTTTTTCTTCAAGTGTTTTTTTGAATATCTGAAATCATAATTTGTTTTTAAAAATCTCAGTTTGAGAGTATTCTTCCACTAAAAAGTACTATCGTTCCTAGTAGGTCAGCATGTGTGATTGCTCACTCTCTCTGCAATAATTTTTTTTTTATCCTCACAGCAATCTCTGTACTATAGATATTTGAAGTGTGGGAGAGTAAATATTCCGTTTTCATTTACCATTCTGCCACCATTCTGTTTAACCCTTTAATGTAGAGGCGAGGTCAGCAAAAGTCATGCAAACATCTTCCACTATGTTTGTTCCAAACCGGGGAAGAGAGAAATCACTTCATAATGAATTGGTGAGCTCTGACTCAGTTCCCAGATCTAGTCACTGAACAGCAGTGACATTAAAAAAGAGCTGAGTTAACTAGAGGCAAAATTGCTTCTGCTTTATCTCAACTCTTCGCAGGCAGGAGCATGTCTAGAAATGTAACGTATTTGCAAGTTACCCTCTACTTAAATGACTGCTGTGATTGATGACCAAAGAACGTGTAGCATCCAAATGGGCAAGCAATAGCCATAGGGCTGGAAATTTCATCATCTTCATCTCATGTCCTTCATTCTGCATCGAGTCCAGCTTGAACCTGTAGATTACTGACTGCTGAGAGAGTTGGCTGATGTCATTGTGAGGCCACTCTTAATTATCCTTGAAGGGTCATGGCAATTGCAGAACATTCCTGAGGACTGTAAGAGAGCAAATGTCACTCTTGCCTTCAAGAAAGGCAAGAAGGAGGATCTGAGGAGCTAAAGGCTGGTCATTCTCACCTTGCTGCCTAGGAAAGGGATGGAGCAAATAATTGTGGAAACCATTTCCAAATATCTGAAAGACAAGAAGGTGACTGGGAGTGATCAGCATAGATTTACAAAAGAGAAATCATGCTTAACCAGCTTGATAGCCTTCTACAATGAGTTGAGAGCAGTGGATGTTTGTCTTGACTTTATAAGTCTTTGATGCACTCCCCTGTAAGACTCTTGTAGACAAACTGATGAAGTACGGACTAGAGAAGCGGACAGTGAGGTGGACTGAAAATTGGCTGAAATAGCTTAAAGGGCTGTGATCAGTGACAGAAAGTTCAGCCATCACCAGTGGTGTACTGCAGAGGTTGATACTGGCTCCAGTACTATTTAACCTCTTCCTTGATGACCTGGATGATTGAACAGTGTGCACCTCTAGCAAGTTGCAGATGACACAAAATTGAGAGTAGTTAATTGATGGTTGTGCTGCCATTCAGAGGGACCCTTCAACTGCCTGAACAAATACGTGAAAAGGAATCTCATTCAATTCAACAAAGAGAAGGAAAAGTCGTGGCTGTGGGGAAGAATAACTCTATGCACCAGCACAGACTTGGGGCTGGCTTGCTGGCAGGCAGTTTTGCACAGGAGGACATGGCGGGTCCTGGTGGACACCAAATTGAACATGACCCAGCAGTGTGCCTGTCCAGCAAAGGTGGCCGACTGCGTCTTGGGCTGCATTAGGAAGAAAGTCCCCAGTAGACCAATGGTGGTGGTCCATACTCAACATTGATGGGCCACACCTGGAGTGCTGGGTTCATCTTTGGGCTCCTCCAATACAAGAAAAACGGGGACATGTGAGACAGAGTCCAGCAAAGGGCCGTGAAGATGATTAAGGGCTGATACACAAGGAGAGGCTGAGAGAGCTGAGGCTGTTCAACCTGGATAAGAGAGGGCTAAGGGATATCTTATAAATTTGTGTAAATACCTGATGGAGGGAGCAAAGAAGATGGAACCAGACTTCTCAGCGGGATCCAGTGAAAGGACAAGATGCAACAAGCACAAATTCAAATGCAAGAAATACCATTTAGACATGAGAAAAACCTTTCTTCCTCTGAGGACAGTCAAACATTGGAAAAGGTCTCCCACAGAGGTTGTGTATATATTCAGAACCCCACTGGACAAGGTCTCAAGCAAACTGTTCTAGGTGCCCCTGTGCTTTGAGCACAGGAGTTGGACAGGTGAGCCTTTCCAACCTCAATGAGACTGTGATTCTAAAAAGTGTTTAAACATTAAGAAAGCCTGTAGCCTACTTCACCCCCCAAAAAATCTCCAAACCACCAAAATGGAAAAACATGAATTATTACATATTACTGCCTTGCTACATGTGGCCTTCATCGTATTGTGCCACTGCAACATGTTGCTAATAATGCAGAAAAACAAAGATTATCATGTGGTTTAAAAATTACTGGTGGGGACTCAATTTATCCCAAAAGTAGGAGCTGCCACTAGCTTAATGGTTCCACTGCTAAGAATAATTAATAAAATATTCACAAAATTCTATATTGCTAGATTGCTGATGGTCATTAGGCATACATGTGCACTAGTTCATCCATGTCATTTTCTCTGGCAAGCATTTTAAAATCCACATATTGATTGTTCTCAGATACAGAAACAGTATGCTTGTGGGATCAAACTTTCTGTGTGTTAATAAGCAAAGCTTTCCAGATAAAAGTTACAGAAGAACGTAGACTGTTTGATGTTATCTGGAGTTATTTACTGCTAAGATCGTTAGTCTGTTATCTCCAGAGCCAGTATTTAGACGATTCAGGGTTTCCTTTAAAATGTGTTATGTTTTGTTTCATGGTTTTTTGGGTGTTTTTTAGGTTCTTTGAAGTGGCTTTCAGATTGTCTTCCCTGTGAAATACAGTTCATGTAATAGTAGAGTTATTGCTTTATCACTTAATTTGTTTGAGTTCTCAGCATCTTACAAAAGCCTAGTCACATTTGACACTCTTTTTTTAAGTAGGACACTTAGCAAAGGAAAACAATAAGGACTTTGGAGATCACTTCTCATGCGAGGATTGAGGTGGGGGGCATAATTACATCTACTTAAAGTAAGATTTCAAAGGCACTCAGGTATTTTTCAGTTATGAGAGATCATTATATATTTCCTTTGCCTTCATGAGAAGGGAGATCCTAGTACGAATATTTTTGTAATACCTTTTTTGAATTTTATTTTGCAGGCATTTGCAAACCATCCCTTTAGTATGCTTTGGAATCACTGTTCTTTCTTTTTAACGGCATTTTAGTCTCTTTCACCACATCCATGCAAATCTGTCTTTTGTTGGAAGCTTTTTGCATGGTTAGATTTGTAGAGCTCAATGTTCTGGTGAGATGAACATTTCCTATTACTTTTAGATGAGGCTTGAGGTAAACAACAAGGACCCAAAGATGCAGAAGGAAACCCCCGTAGGAATTTTTGAACTGCTTGGGTGAAAGAATACCTGAAGTAGGGTGGGAAGAGTACTTGCAGTAGCTCAGGCAGCCTCAGTGACTGAAGATCTCCAGAGATATCCTCATATCCTTTTTGTTTAGTACCTTGTATGATCCAGTCCCTTTTAGGGCATCACCGGACTTAGAGGGTAATACCTACTGTAGTGTAATAGTTAGTGTAACAATCATGTAGAATGAGAAAAACAGACTGGCATATGCTGTTTATGGGATATATAAATTATTTTGGGTCAATATAATTTATTTACCTATAGACCTTTTACAGTGCTTATTGCAATTCTCTTTCTCTCTTCCTGCTTTTTCCCCATTTTCCTTGAATTACTAAAGCTTATAAATAGCTTCTTAAAGATCTTTCAGTTCCTAACTTTTTTTTCTCCCCCCACTTGGGAAGAGCTTTGTCACTGACTATGTGATGATAACATCTTTTTAGGCTAGGAAGGAAAAATGCTGTTAAATGGGTGGCTTTAAATATTTTGTAACATAAACACAAAAGTAATTATTTAATGAAAAGCATTAAAAGATGACTGGACAGCGCATAAATGGGTAGAAAGTATCTTTACTTTGATTCTGTGTGTAATTAAATCTACCTGTCTACCTGGATGTGCATGCATATACACGCACTTTTTGATATTTTTTTTTTCCCCCAGACTCGTGAACAACTGCAAGCTGATCTTCTCAGGTGTCAGGCAAAAATTGAGGACCTGGAGAAAGCTCTAATCGAGAAAGGACAGGTAAAAGGCTCTCTTAATGTCCTCTACCACATCATTTTCTCCCTTGCATGCAGTGGTGCCCTTGCCATCTTCATTGCTTGCTGGTATGTTAGTGTGACTGATGCAGCTTAATTGCTACTGCAGCAATAGATTACTTAAATAAAGGAAAGTATTATGTAGGCTAAGAAAATACCTTTAAAGATTCATTTTCTAACACATAACACACTAAAGCATAATATCAAAACAAGTGCATGTACATGCATTGTAAGTTCTGTTTGTGTTGTCGTTTGGTGAAGGCGTTTCTCCTGTTTTCCATTTTCTTTATATTTGCTATAAATTCCAATAAAATAAATATTCTATATTTGTACTGGAGAATATTTTTGATGTGTCACATAGAAAAATTCAAAACCAAATCACTTCCACACCTGCTTCAGCTAGAGAAATGAACCACTGGTTGTGTCTGGTTACTGGAAGCATCTTATGGTGTTGATCTCCTGGCCTTAAATTCTTGGAGGACCCAACTGGTTTCAAATTCCCATACCATCACACAGAGTAAAATTAGGCTTTATGCTTCAGTATAGCTTGTAAATACTTGACAAAGACGTGGCTACAGAGTCATATTTAATAATGTCTAGGATCTTCAGGAAGGCTGATTAAGAGATATGAGAGTGGATTTAAAAGATGTTAAGTTGCATAAATACTGGAACACACTGAGAAAATTGAGATGTTATTTTATATTATTATTTGAAATAACAATTTTAAGATTGCAGGTAGCTTATGGTAATGAGTTAAGATATAGGTTTCTATAGATACACATTTCAAAGACTAATGATGCTGTAGCATTGAATAAAAACAACCTACGAATAATGCCAAGTTAATGATATTACTGGTTTAATGGTTTATTCTTTGTAAGAAAATTTTTCTGTAAAATTATATATAAATACAAAGGTTTTGGAACCATATTCAAACTAAGCATAAAAATTGTTTGTGCTAGCTTCCACACAAACTGCATTTTGCTTAGTAAATTCCATGTAAATAAAATATTACTAAATATAGAGAATATGTTATCCATCTGAAAATGGTGACTCACTGAGATTTTAGAAGAATAAATGAAACTGAAGACCTCTCCAGGATCTACTGCTGACATTTTAGTGTGTTGATGGTTAAGGTGTTGTGGGCAAACTGCTCTGTGATTGAAAACATTAACAAAATAGTTGACTATTACAGTGTAAAATGTAAGTGCTGTGCATGTAAATAAGAAAATTGAACACAAATACCCATGTAAGAAATTACTTCTGTGATTTTACTTCCAGAATGATATGTCAAAAAGATATGCCTGGAAATTAGAGTTTAATTAGTTATTATTTTACGAGATTCATAACCACATTTTCAACCTTGTATCTCTTAGTAATTTTAAGAAGACTAAAAGGAACGTGACAAGGAGCAATGTGATATTGTCTTTAGTGGGTTAGTTTGTATGCTCAGCATTAACTTTCCACAAAAGTGGTGACAGTGTCTTCGTGGGAGCTCTAGCACCTGCTCAGTTCTCCTGACCTGTTAGTATTTACATTCAACAAAATAAATGGTTATGATGATAAACTGACCTCTATGTGATTTTTTTATTATTATTATTATTACTTTGTCACTTAGGTGATCATGGTAGTGACGATGATTTAATAATACTCGTGAAACGTTCATTTGGGGAACCAGTACCTGAAATGCATTTGAAAAAGAAACAATGAATCAAAAGTTCCTAGTGTGTTATCTCAGGAATTTTCAGTCTTACTTTGCAGCTTTGGAAGTAAAATTCAGAGCAGGAGATTAGAATATTATGGTTAAAAAATGGCTCAAATCTTGGCTTATAACAATTGATGTGTAATTTCAAAGTAAGTGTCAATGCCTCTTGTTAATCTCTGATGAGCTCGATCTGTCAGAATTTCCTTAGATGTAAAATAAGACTATTAATCAATTTCTGCAAGGTACATTGAGTTGCATGCATAGGAAACATTATATTAAGGGAAGAAATTCTTATAAAATATGAATATTGGTATATAATAAATCTCAAAATATTGAAGTATGTAATGTGCCAGATGGATTTTTTTTTTTTTAAATGCTCAGCTCTCTCAGTGACCTGGTATGTATATAAATACAATCCCATTGAAGTTAAAATTTTGTCAGAAAGTAGAGTTAATCTAACTTCATCAAGAAAGACTCAAAAGTTAATTATCAATAGGTCAAATTAATCCATTTTTTCCTACTTGTGTGAACTGGAATAGTTGAACCTGCAGGTCTGATGTAACTGTTGAACCTGCCTTATACCATATGCATGCATTGGGATATCCACCCTAAGTCTGTGAGTGCAACTCTTTGTTCTTTCTTTGACCTTAGTAAAATGCTAGTTAAATGTTAAACTAGACATTGGATTTTATTTTCAAATTTCTTTCATTTGCTTCAAAAATTCTTTACCAATGTCATGCTTTTTCAGTACTTATTTTAGTATATTATTCTTAGTATGATACTTTTAACATCATAACACTGGAGAGCTTGTTTACTGTATGAAAGTTAAAATGCACTTGTGCAGTCTTTTATATGAATGGGTAAAGGAGAAAGAACAGTAGTATATGTAAATGTAGTGGACAGTAGGTAGAAAAACTAACTTTCAACTTTCTTAAAAATGTGAATATTACAACATAATGTTTTAAATATTTTTGGTGGATGTTGGAAGGCTAGTGAATGAATGGGCCGCGATATCCAGATTTCATTAATTTCTTGTGCAGCATCAGTGTGCAAATACTTGCTGACAAAGCATCAGCCTTAATACTTTAGTAAAGATATTTAGATTTTAAATAAGTTGTCCTTTTTAGCTAGAAAGTAATTTGATCTAGAATTAGTGTGGCATGTTAAGTGTTAGATATTGTTTTATTAAACTTATTAGAGCAGTATGAGCTAGGTTATCTAAATAATTTTCTCTACAGGGAGAAGAGAGCAAATTTAACTGTTACAATCCATCAAATCTGAATGTCCAGCTGTGGCTGGCTGGCAGTGAGTTTTTGTAACTTGGGTCTTTAAGGGGATATTTTATGAGGCCTTTTGAAGTCATGCAAAAATCTAAAAGTAAAGATCGGTTTTGGAACAAGTGATCAAATAGAAATACAGTTTTTAAATGGAGTATAGAATATCTTATATCACTTCCCTTCTTTCATAGTTTGAATTCCGTATCACAAACACTGTGTCTCACACTTTTAGCAGAGGGCAATTAACTGAATTCCCCTGAAGCTTATTTTCAGTCATTTGGGGTAATTAAATATTTTACTTCCCTTTCTCCACCAGCATTTACATTACACCACTCAAAATGGGATTTTGCAAGAAAGTTCCCAACACTTTGCAATGGAAAGAAATGATTTTGAGTTAAGACAAGTAAATAAATGTTTATAAAATGACATAAAATATCATGTAACTACATTCACCTACAGTTGCTAAATGTGAAGAATTTAAAATATATGCTTAGCTAAAACACACTAGGAAACAAGATATTCATTTTCAGGAAAAGAAAGGAACTTTAATTTTCTCTGTAGCTTAAAATGCTATTTATCCTTGAAATATTTATGAAAGCTGTAATTTTTGATGTGTGACCATTTTTATTCTTGAATGTACAATGATGTCTGAAATCTTCTAATTATTGTGCTTATTCATTTGACTTGTTTAACAAAATATATACAATTATAATATTTTAATCCTCCTCTTTCTCACAGGATTCCAAATGGGTAGAAGAAAAGCAGCTCTTGATCAGAACAAATCAGGAGTTACTAGAGAAGGTACGTGTTTAGAATCTGAGAATATTTTCACAATTACTGCCCTTTATCATAAAAGGAATGGTACTAAGTACTGGAACATCAACTTTATTTCTCTCCAGAAACAGAAATTCAGATAAATTCTCTCATTGAAATACTAATATATTTTTGTACTCTTTGGGAATGGGAGCTGCTCTTCCTTGTGGAATTACATGTTGTACGGCCAACAGTAGAACCCAAGCTGGCTGATGTTGCTAGTGTCCAACAAAATACAACCTAAAATATTAAGCTTAATGTAGAATCCTGTATTTTGTCAAACAATTACACAAAGATTATTATTGTCCTGATCACTAATAAAATTGCTCCCTTCAGCTTTTCATTATCTAGTTTTTCCACACATTAAGTAATGCTGATTGATTTAAAACTATTGTGTCATTTACTGCCTAAGATACTCAGAGCTCATCATCCTCATTGTTCTTCACTGATACTGGTGGAAAAGTTAGCTAGTACTCAGGAAGTCAAAGAATTTTTTTGTTAATTAGTAGCTCAATATTAATATAATAGGAATAAGATAACCAAAGAAAAATTCGTGACTAAAAGTAGCTACAGCTGGACTTAATTTATTTAGTCACTTACATGGGTATTATATGCATTATAGTACATTATACCAGATGTTACACTTCTATTTAGCATCATAAAAATAAAAAGATCACCCAGTTAAGCTAGGCAGTAGACCAAAGCTAGTAGTTGGCATAATGAATAGTCAGTTTTGAATTTCTATTTTGTTGTTGTTAGCACCCCGAAGCACAAATCTGGAAAAATAAAAACTAGGCATTAAAACCTCCCCATTATTGTCTTTCATGTACTGTGAAGAGTAGATGTCTGGTTATGCAAAGACAATGATAACAGTCCTCCCAAATGTTAATGTAATCCAGTTTTATTCATTTGATTTTTAAAAGAGAGCTTGTATTGCTTAACTTATTTAGATACAATATTCATATCACTTTTCATACTACTTCGAGATTACTATTCTAAGAGATCATTGACCATTTTCTACTGGCAGTTCTCACAGATGCTTTCTGATGTGATGTTCCTTCTTTATCTCCAAGACGTGGCCCGAAATCTAACAAGAAACTGAAATAATTAACAGTTTTGTCTAAACTCCTGGCCTGTAACTCTGTACAGTATCTTTTCCATTGCTTATGAGGCGTTATGATGTTGTGTTTGTCTCATAGATTTACAGAATGGAACAAGAAGAGCATCAGCTGAAGAACGAGATGCAAGATGCAAAAGACCAGAATGAGCTGTTAGAATTCAGAGTGCTAGAGCTTGAAGTAAGAGATTCTCTCTGTTGCAAACTCTCAAATGGAGCAGAAATTATGTTTGAACCCAAGCTGAAATTCCTGTAAAGATTACTGATGTCTGGTGCATGTTTAAGGGAGATCACTTAGGTATCTATTTTTTAAATGTTGTATCTTAGGATAATGAAATTGATGCCACTGCCTTAATATGCTTTGGAGAGAGTGCTAACTAATGTTTATAAAGATGTAATATAGCTAATATATATTGCATATAGTTTGTTTTTCATCTAATAAAATATTTTGTTTTGCAATATTTTGCCTTTTTTTATTTGTTTCATTTCCATAACTGCTCCTTTCCTGCATGTAAAATCACTTGGTATGTATACTACAGCCTTGGCTGTTGGTTGTTTCAATTAACACACCTTCTCACATCTTGCATGCAGTGATCTGACTAAAGATCCAACACTTCCACCACATCAATGTATAATTGCTTTTAATTAATTGATTTAAGATTGACAATATTCATATGAAGTAAAATTATCTTAAAGAACACATTTCGATAGCCACTTTGAAAGACTTTCTCTTACCTGAAATCCATTTTCTGATGGTATAAAATGGTCATGGACTGGAAATAATTGGCATCAGTCAATGGAAAAAATGAAAAAAACCCCCACCCTCTGAGAATGTCAGACTGGTGAAGCATAAGTACAACTTCTGTACGTGAAAGTAGTACGTTGCCAATAGCAAACAAATTCTATACTTTGCATAAATGAAATAACAGCGAAGTTATCTGTGAATAACAATTTGACATTGTAGCCTGTGATTACGGTAGAAAGCAATGGTACTCATCACCTCCTAAACGGGGTCCATGGCGAGTTTGGTAGCACTGAACTACTCGTGTGTGATGCGCAGTTGTCACACAGTTGTGTTGCCTGATCACACATTGTTCCATTTCAAAGATCATCAACATTCTTAACGCCATTTAGAATAAACTCTTCAAGAAACCTGTCATTGCCACTCCTCCATAATTTTCATCACTCAGCACGTTTCACCAAAAATCTTGGCATGTGTAACTTCTCTGGTAAAGATGAAAACATCATGTCTTCCTGTTATGTGGACATTCTGCTTGTTGTCTTTGACATTTCTTAATCTTTTTTTAATCCTTTACTTTATCAACCGTATATTTTTATGTCATAGGCCGTTATATTCAAAATTACATATTTAGATTATTAGAATTTCCGTACATGTTCAGGAAAATAGAATGCTTTCTATTAAGCAACTGTAAAGTAAAATACTGAACAGTTTAGCATTTGAATTGGCAGTTACACTAGAAACTGCTTCCTAAAGTGTAAGTATTCTTAGAAGTAGAACAATCAAAAAAATTTTCTTAGGAAAAGAGAAAAAGTGCTTCAATACATCCTTCACGAATGTCCTTTTTACACGGAAGACTCACATGAAAAATAGCTCAGTATGATGTGTCAAGTTTTGTCATGTGCCAAATTTTTAAAAACTTGTTTCACAAAATAACAAAGGAAGTGTTTTTGTGTGATTGCAAGAAAACGTGTTTTTTTCCTTAGTAGGCAAGCATGTAGACACAAATTTGACTGGCAATGTGAATGCTTTGGGAAAATCGTGAACACTTCTGGTAATCATGACAGTATTTTTGTGAGAGCAATTAAATTATTTTGGATTAAAATTAGGCTAGAGTAGAAAACACAACCATTTGTCTATCATTTCATGCAAGCAAATTCAGGTGAGTTTAATGCAATAAAATGAAATTTTTTAAAATCTAAAATGATAGCTGAATTTGGACAAGAATTAAGCTTCTGGTTTTGGATTACAACAGTTGGATCATTTAAGCTCATTTCAAAATTAGACCGTTAATGAAAAAAAATGTTTAAAATAGAGCCTATGAGGGGCGAAAATGTATAAAGTACAGAGATCTTTTTTCCCCTCTGCATTGTAGTTTCAGTTGTTTTTCATTGTACGTTTAAGGTAGTTAATGAACAAGAGTTGCTGTGCTTTGTAACTTGCTTAAGTGAATGGATGCAACCTGCTTGCCATATTGATTAAAGCCTCTCATTTTCTGATTTGGGAAATTGGGCAATGCACGGATGGTCATAGGAACTACAATATTTGCAGTAGCTCGCTTTCATTATACTGCCAGAAACTGAAGCTCTTGTTGCCAGTGCCTCCGTTTGTAATATGGAGAGGATATCTGATTTTCCTCACTCGTGTTCCCATGGCCGTAGAGAATTCAGAGTAAGACCCTGTACCTTGGTTGCTCAGAGCCTTCCATCCTGTCATTTTCACAAGCACACTAGAATTTAATTTAAGTAAATTTGTTTATTTGTTGTTTTACTGTATTTCTGCCTTCTGAAGAAATAATAGCTTGGTATTTCAAAGAAACACATGAAAGTCAAGCAGATGGGCAGGATGAGTTTTAGAAATACTATAGTTTTAGATATATGGGAATTTATAATTTTTAGTTTTGGCACAAAGAACATCACAAGTGTAGAGTAGTGCAGCCTTTCAACGTATTCTGACATCATGGGTTGTGCAGTGAATAGGACTGGGAATTTTACATGCTGTAATAGAAAGATTAACTGTAGAATAAACAGGGAGCACAGACACAGCTTTAATTTTATCGAGGAAATCTTCAGTGATGATACTATTTCATGATGGATTTTATTTTTTTTTTTTCTGCATTTTCTTCTTCCTAAATTGTTCTTTGTTCTATCCAAGAAAGCAATAGTTAAATAAGGTCATAACCAAGATAAAAAACTGCAGAGCTTTCTAGGGCTCCAGCCAGTTATTTCCCCAGTGTCCAAGGGTTCCTGCATCTGAGGAGTGTCCGTTAACTTCACAGAAACTGGGTGTGCATGGAATCAGTTGGAAGCTAAACCCATTTTTGTGCTTAGCTGAAGCCAAAATCATTCAAATACGGTGAAAGTAGGAGGAAATGCCATATATTTGGATTGTGAATAGGAATTTGCCTTTTTAATGTACAAGCATGTTTTGTAAAGGTGGGAAATAAATGTTTATGTATAATTACACGTGTTGTTTTTAAACAAAATCTTTCCTCAGGAGAGAGAACGAAGGTCACCGGCATTTAATCTTCATATAACCACCTTCCCTGAAAACAATGGAAGTGCACTTCAACTGTTCTGTCAACAGGAAGGAATAAAGGTATATGTAGAGCGTTAGTAACAGTTGGATGGCCAGGAACTTTTTCAGAATGACCAACACAATATCCAAACAAATGATTCGTCATCTTACTGTAGGGAAGAAAATCTGAAAAAAATAGATATAGTAAGAAAAGATATTTTTAACTGGGAAAAGAGTTTCATAAGAATATGATCTAGTAGTTTGTCAGGAGTCCATCAATTAAAATGAAGGCTGGTCAATCAAGATAATTACATTTAGTCTAGGCTACTGCTGTAAAAACATTGCAGAGAAGAATGTGGATGTTGATGTGATTTTTTTTTTTTGTCAGGCTTGCTACAGTGCTTTGTTCTTAATATTAAATGTTTTCATCTAAGGTCAAAAATATGACATTCACTTACTATTTTACACCCAATTTAGTGAAGCACCTATGCCTTTTTTTTTTGTTGAGTTAATATGCTTAAGCTATTTGCCTAGGCCAGGGCCTTGAAGCATGATGTGCCTGATCCAAAACTGATTCAAATAGGTGAGACCCTGTCTATCATTTTAGATCAAGCACAAGGGAAACATCAAGATCACACTTGGTTAGCTTCTGCTTTTCATGTCTGTTCTCCCTTGAGTAGGCTAGCTGTACAAATTGATTTGCATGCTGGTTCACTTAAGACTGAATTCAGACTTGCTTTGTTAATAATATTGCACAATAGGCCAGGGTAACTTTTCTACAAGAAACTAAAGTGGAATATCTCTGTGTGTTATACTTCATGGCACTTGCTATTAATTTATGCTTCTACTTGTAATTTCTTGTTACAAAAGACTTGTTTCTATTCAGTGCCTTAGTAAGCACAGTACTATCTGTAGTGGAAATAAACTGAAATTGTAGACTGCATATTGGTAATGAGATGAGTAGTCTAAAAGAAAAAAAATTTTAAAACCTGATTTTTACCTACAGGTTTGATTGGGTGGCCATTTCCCAAACCGCACTAAGAGTCATCATTTGGCATATTAACTTTCGACTAGAACCTCCATGGGATGCCAGACCTGATTTTTAGCTTATCTGTTTTTCTAATTTGCATGTTGGTTTTAGTAGGTACAGCTTAACAGGATCTAGAATTCGTCTTTTTTTCATTGTCTTCTGCTGCATTTCTAAACAAAGGTGTTTTATCAGTCTGCCTTTCAGTTCACTTACCTGGAAGCATGGCAGCCACCTAATGTGGGCACACTGAAATTGCTGACGTTTTGTACGTTTTCAGTGACTTTTGAAATTGTTAGCCATCAGTATCAAATTGGATTCTGGAAGGATGCAAAATTGGATTTGGTTTCTAAATCTTCCTATATGCTTCAGCGTGAAAATAAATGAATCAGAATGAATAAATGATTAGAATCTGGCTCGATAGGTTGCACATCTTACTGAATTCCATTATTCACTAGTGTAACTGATCAGCTAAAGAAGTTTCCGTTCAATGTTGTCAGTGCAGATCATAATCAATAGTGTTGTTTTTAACACTGATCCAAACACAAGTATGTATTAAGCTCAGTACCGTTCTAAAATTATTGATGTGCACTGTTTAATAGCTAATGTAACATTTGAAGACACTGCTGAAGTGTTTGGGGAGAGAGGGAAGAGAGAAAGGGGACTTCTCAGGATAGACCAACTTGAACACAACACATTATTCCTTCTTTGGAGCCAGGATGGACTACCCTGTAGATTCTCTCCCACATCTGTGTCTGGTCTTCAGGAAATCTTTCATTTCTTATTAAGCCTTCCTCACTGGAATCTGTTAGGTACAGAATCATAAACAAATATATTCTAGTGTAGTTATGTAATTTGCAAGCATAGCTAATTTAGCTTTAAAAAATTTTAAAGATTGATCATCCTCACTACCCACATAATACAATTGCGCAACACATAGATGCAAACCAGCACGTTTTGTACTGTAAATAACGAAACTGGTGAGCTCAGACACAGCCCTGTGAAATGTTGGCCTCTTCTAAGCGTATTCTGTGCTGAATATGAGTAGAAATTGAGGGTGCCAGCATTTAACAAGGTTGTCTTGCTTTATGCATGTGTATTAAGCATTTTAGACTAACATGAACTGGTCTCTGCCAATGCTTTCAAGCCTTCCTACCCTCAAATAGCATGGCTGAGTACAAGCTCTTGATAGGAATGATCCCTGGTCCACATTAACTTGTGGAGCATACTTGGGATAGTTCAGAGAAAAGTGATTAGCACAGGTTAAACAGTTCCATGAACCTTTTCAACAACTTTTTAAAGTAGAAAATAGAGTTCTCAGGCCTAGGAATGGTCCCTGGCACTGTGTAAAATACAGACATTGTGTGAATTTATTCCTCTCTTTTTTGTATCAGAGGAATGTTTTTCTTGATTTTAGTCACGAGGCATTAATAAGAATGAGTTGTTCACTGCTTTTCGTGAATCTAGGGGCTAACTGGCAGAGAAACATGGCTTTCTACTCCCGGAGGCTGTGAGCTAATAGTGTTTGGAGGAGCATGTTCAGTCCACCATGCATATTCCCTTCTTCCACTGCTGGGCTGATTGGAAACTCCACTCTTTTAAGAAAGCAAATAAAAAACAAACCACCCAACAAACCTTCTTCACAGTTATTTTGTTCATGCTCTCTGTCTTTTTAACTTCTGTAGCTTGATGTGCTTGATGCTGTACTCCAAACAAACAGGAAAAAAAAACAGTCCGTAAGCCCATTTATCTGTTCTGATCTTTCAGTGAATTGTACAGCAACATTCTGCCCTCATACAGACATCTGGATTGCTTGCTAGAATCAAGAGTGACATTTGATTTTGTCTCTGAAACTATCAATAACACTTTTGTAATTGTGATGCAAAACTGATGTTTCACTTATTTACATTTCAAGTCTGTTTGCATGCAGATGTGAATAAAGGCTACATAAGATGCAGCATATAAAAACTGTTTCTCAGCTACCATATTAAAAATGTGTTGAACATCTTTTTCAGGACGTGAATATATCTGAACTTATGAAGAAGCTAGATATTCTTGGAGATAATGGGGTAAAAAAAATTAATTTCAAATATACCTCTACTTTCATGGGTATTTTAGAGCTTTATTGTTTTTCCCCACAACAGAAAACAACATTTAAGAAAACGCAGAGTGATTTTTATATGCCTATATTTGTACGATCAATATAAATGCATAGGTACTACTTTTGCACACTTAAAATCTTTCTGTTAAACTGATGCTAATGAAAAGCGTATTTCCTCAAGATGGGGTGTGATCTTGGCTGAATGACATGGAAAGAAGGCACTATAGTAGACAGAGGGAAAAGATATAAAACAGATCTAGGGCAGAAAAATAAGGAAGTCAAAGCAAGACCAAGTTATCCCTGAGCTTTTTCTCTTGAGTAGTAATAGTAGCACTTACTACTGTGAAGAATGCCTCTGCCAGGAGTGGATTTGCTGGGAGAAAGGGCAAGGATAACTGGTTCTCTTTCTTCCCCTGTATTGTCAAATACAGTATAAAATCTTGCTCATGCAGTCTGCGCACAAACATACATGGAGCTGGATCCACTTTAAAGGTAACTTTAGCAGTTTCAGGTCTTTATAATACTAGTTTTGAGCTCTAGATTTACTTTTTTTTTGTTGGAAGATCTCTAGAGGTTTCTATGGTACTTGCTCTTTCTTTGCATTGTTTTTGTTAATGGGAAGTCTAGCTCTGAAGTGCATGAAGGGAAGATTCACTTGCTGCAGAGCTATAGTCCAGTGAACTGGCATTTTTCTGGTAAGGAAAAACAAAAAGAGAAAATTCAAAATCCCTTACAGAAACCACTTAATTTTCATTTAATAATGAACTGTTGCAAAAGTGTTGTGAGAGTGGTGTACTGAAACAGAGTGGAGACTGAGTACCCTTGGGTTAGCTTTTAATACTTTGAATCATGGGATCTTTTCTGGGCATGTTTATAAAATGCTAAATGTTATAGCTGATTTATTCTTTAAAATTCAAATTTATCACTTGTGTTGACGGACAGATTTCCAATCCAATTTAAAATGTATCTTTTTGTATTTTAGAATTTGAGAAATGAAGAACAGGTTGCAATAATCCAAGCTGGGACTGTACTTTCCCTCTGTGAAAAGGTAGACTACAGTAAAGATTTTTTTCTCTGCCTAGAGACTGATCGTGTCTTCTAAGGTATCACGTAACTTTGCCAGGGAAGCATGGCTTTCCTGTCAAAGTCATCTGGATTGGAGCATGTATTCATCCTTAGATGGCTTGTTGGGATTGTGATGTCTTGAGGTAAAATCAAACTCACAAAATAAACCAAATTTAAAAAAAAAAACAAACAAGTTTTGGAGATATTCCCTAAGAATAAAGTACTAAAAAGCTACTTAACAAAAGAGACTTAATTCTCAGAAGTGCCTATGTCCTCAGCTCTCTGAGAATAGAGTGCTATGAAGGCCTCCGTAAGTTGTACCACCATGATCCATTTTGGACCTGTTTCTGAGTATAATTGTAAAAGTTCTGAGTGGTCTGTGGACCTTTCCTCCGTAAATTACTGGGCGTAGACAACAAAAACATAGTTTGTACAGTAGAGGTAATCTGTCAGGTCACTCAGTTCTGCATGACTAGTTCCTTACTCTTCCAATTACAGAGAGAATGTAATCTGTAAATGAATAATGGTGACGTTTAGAACTAAAAAAGACTTGCCTTTTTCCCCGAAGTCCATCCTTTCATAGGTTTCTGTTAAATCTTTCCTGGATGCATTTCTGAAATTCAATCTGAACTTTAAAATTAAAGTTTGAGCATTTTGTATTAATTATTTTAATTGGTATAATTCTGATGATCTACTTCTCTAAATATCTTAATGTAAATAATCTAAAAAGGATAATTTAATAATCATTGATTCAAGTGAGTAATTGCTATAAGCCGAATAGAATTGAGTATAGAATAGAATAGTGCTGTAACCCCTATGCTTTTCATTGTGTTATAGCGTTAAAAAGGGGAGGTGATGATCATACCCCTTTGCATCTGATAAGGAAAGTGGAAGAACCCCAGTATGCAAGACTAAGATAGAGGGCAAAACTGGCTAAACTTTAGGGACTGGATTGGGTTATTATTGCTTAAGTAAATTAGTGCTTCTGGAAAAAATGCCCCTGGAATTAGTGAGCTTGTTTAATTTGCATCAGAGTGGTGCAGAATAGAACATACACTTTGTTATCTATAAATTATTCCCATTAGTAACTGGTCACAGCAATACGGAATTGGAAACTTTGTCAACTGGAATAATTATTTAAATGAATTTAAGCACAATTACAATGGAGACTGTATTTATTTATTTATGCTAAAGTTGGTCTATAATTTAATTTATCTTTTTTTTTTACCTTCAAAATTTCTGCCAGTTCCTAGTTTGCTTAAACAGTTTTTTGTTTTGTTTTTTTTGGTGGTTTTACCATATAATCTGGTTATTACAGAAATGGAACACTCCATCAGAAAGATGGTGATTTTAATTTTATCTTTTACCGATAAATAGATTACATTTAAAGAATGAGATGAAAATAGTTCATGTTATCTACAGACTCTATCCATTTTATGTCATTTTAGTCAAGTGCCTCATAGTAACCTAATAGATACATGCTGATAGCAAATTGAATCAAGAGGGTACTCTGAGAAACATGAAACCTTTTTCACTTTTTCATGGGGCACATTTGAGGTACAGACTGACCAAATGACTCTGATTTTCTCCATAACAGAAGGCACTATCCATGTCTCAGGTTTACTAAGGTAAAGAATAACAGAAAATAGTCTTTTGCTGTCCATAACAAAACAAACACGATACTACAGTTCATAATGTGTTCTACAGTACAGACAAAATCAGACAAAATCTGATAAGTGAGACTGGATGACTGTTTTAACATAAATTCTATTGGGTGCATATACTGAATTTAGATTAGAGGAAATTTAAAGCAACTCCACTGCCTTCTCCAGTGTAATGTAACCTTCTTAGATGTCCCTCTAAATAAGGGCCAGACAGCATCCTATGTACATTCCTATAGTTCCTTAATTACAAGAAACTATCATTTATTATCATCTCAGAATAGTATCTTTTGGTAGAGGAATGGTTCTACAGATGTAGATGTTGTGCTAGTTATATGCACATGTGCTAATTAATCACACTCAGTGTTTATTTAAATCAAAAATATTACACTAAGCCACTAGAAGTGATCTTTTGGAAATCAAGCTGGCAGGCAAGGAAAGTTTTGGAGTTCTGCTGACAAAATTCCAGAAGCTTACTTTGAATGCTACAACTGTTTACAAGTCCTAACCACATGCTTGTCTCTTCTGTGTCCCTTGGTTCTAGGAAGGCTTACAGGCACAGGAAGATCAGAATCAAGACTTAGTTTGGCATATCGTTCATACCTGGGGAAATATTAGATCGCTAATTTGTGCAAATAACCCTTCATTTACAGATGTTGAGAGTAGGTGTGAGAGATGCTGAGGACTTCTCATATCGATTTCAAGGGTTCAGAATGCTCACTGTCTTGCCAAATCCTTTATCAGTGGGGAGGCTTTCCTTAGGAATATCTTCAGTCTGTTACCTTCAACATGAAGAAAAAAAAGATGATAGAATAGAATCATTGGGGAATACAATGTCCTGTTCACCTTTTTCCAGCTCTGTAGAAAGCTAAACCTACTAAAAGGTTAAAACAAATTTCCATTTTTACCCATCAGTCTCTTAAATAGTGGAAGATCCAAAAGGATCAATTAATGAATTCCCATTTTGCTTATTTGTAAACTTATGATTGCAGATTTCCTATCTAAGTCTTTGGAAAAAAAACGGATATGTCATTAATTCCTTTGAGTCTGAGCCCCAACGAATCCAGCAAAACCCTAAATTTAAAGTTGATGTGTAATTCTTACCAAAAGAATTAAAGTAATTACTAGGAGTAATCTAGTGTTAGTAAGCAAAACATTTGGGGAAAGTGATAAGCTACAGTTGGTCCTAATGGGAGCTGGTGCTACGAAAGGAAGCAGTAGTTTAAACTATACTCTCTGTAGGCTAGCCATTGATCCTTATTGTAGACCAATAAGGAAATTAAATAAAATCATTCAGAACTGAGCACTCCCATCCATTCCAATAAACTTAAATGCTGAATATTAATATAATCCTGATGATGGTTAGTAATTAAGAAAGAACTTTCCATCCATGCATTTAGCTATCACAATATGTAATTTTACCTTTGGAATGCAATGGCCATTCTTCTTGAATTGCCTTGATTGTTTTGTGTGTCACCAGAATGGTAAGAGATTCGTGGTAGCAACTGCATGAATTTCCATCTGTCCATTTTATTGTTCCCTCTACAGTACTGATGTTTGAGAAGTGAGCTTCCTCCCACAAAGGGTGTGGCAAACTGTGCAAAAATAAAGGATCGAGTTTGCCACCTTGTCTTTTGCTTAAATTGCCATCTGGAAAAAGGGAGGACTGGTACCCTGAAATCATATGATGGTTTTGCAAATCAGGCCAACAAACATTGGGTGTATCAAGTCGGAAACAATCAGGTTAATTTTGAATTCTTCACCCAAGTCTATTTTGTGTCTTGAACTTTACAGGGGGCAAACCCCTTTAATTTACTGTAGGAAAACAGCCTCTGCTTGTGAGTTTTTAGTATGTTTCTACAGTCCTCCATTCTGCCTATGTTTTCACAACCTGTTTATTCATGTGTAGCTTCAAAGTGAAGAGATAATAAGGGGGAAGCACATGCCTGGGGGTGTTGGCAACAAATGTTCAGTGCGAATTTTTCAAAAGCTCTGTGTTTTTTTTTTTTTCTTTTTTTTATTTTTTCCTCTTCACACTGCTGTGTTCCTGTAGTGGTTAAAACAGATAGAGGGGACAGAAGCTGCACTGACCCAGAAGATGTTAGACCTGGAGAATGAAAAGGTAAGGAACAATAACTGAAAATATAATTAATTTAGCTAAAACTCTTCTCAAGGGAACCTGTATAAACTTAATCAAAGGTTGATTTGCTGCCTATCTCTGCTTAGCAGAGATTGCTTTATGGAAAGTAAGCAAGAGGTTTCTAGAACAATTTATTACTTTTATTCTTTGAGATGGTAGGGAGCTGTCAAAACAATATAGAACAAAAATAGCAAAATACGTACAAATCAGGACATGAAGACATAACTTTACAGATTATATTAACCAAACGGTGTGAAATTGTCTTTGCGCTTTCTCTGTGTATTAATTTGTCTGGCAACAGCATTGTCTTTTTAATCTTGGGGTCATGTTAGTAGAGTTGTCAAGGATATTCCTTTGCTCTCTGGTATTCTGCTTCTGGACAAGTCATAAAGACTTCTTACTCCAGATGACCTTTCTTGCCCTGAGGTCTTTGTGCTTAAAGACAGAATGTTTTCTCAAAAACAGTTCTGTCTTGCATAACACACTCTATACTGACCTTATTTTTCCATATGTTGAACAAAGAGTTTTGGAATGAGTGTTTGATTTTATTGGTTTACCATGCATGCTGTGTTTCTCATCTTCAAATAGCTTTACAAACACTGATTAATCCTCGCCACACCTTTTACAGGTAGATAAGTAATCAGCATTACATTCATCTTAAAGAATGGGAAACTGAGACAGGGAGGTTAAGTGATTTGCCCAGGTCCACTGAAGAAGTGTGTATTTGGGCCACAATCAAGAAAAAAAAGTGCTCAAACTGTGTTCTCTGTTGACTGTAGCCTATCATACTGTTGTCCTTTAACATAGGGATATGACATATGATCCTTTCCACATTTAGTATTTCTTTATTTTCAACTCCTGATACGGGAAAATGCAAAGTACCCACAAATACTAGATACTTTTGTAAAAGGAATTGGAAAATAGTAGTTTCTTTCTGACTTGAATTAGTATCTTCCCACTTATTATCTGGGATGTTTTCGAGTCTTAGTCTGGATAGCCCTCTGTCTGTTTAGCATAGCAACCTGAGAGTCTGCATTGCCAATTGCATCTAGAAATAGTATTCTACCGTGACACTTTCAGAACGGCTGAACATGGGTTTAGTTGTCCTTGGAACCCATGTTAAGAGTTTGAGATACTATTCTTGTTTCCTTCCCTCATGCTTTTCATGGCCAGCTTTTGGAGATAATAGCTTTTGGAGAAGCAACATGATCAGAGCAGCTGCATTGCTATTCTGGGATCTGTTGGTAGCTCTGACCCTCTCTATAGTCTTGGGCAAGTCAGTCTGCTTCTCTGGTGCCAGACACGTGTAAGCATGTTAGGACCAGGCCTGTCCTTTACTATGCATTACACAGTGCACGGTAATATTGCATCTTGTACAACAGCCATGTAGCTGTTGCTGTAATCCACACACCTGGGGAGTCAAGGTGGGATTCAGTTGCATAAACATGGTGTCTAATGCCATATTACATTCTTCAGAGTTCTGAAGATGTCTACAGGGGCTGAGAAATACGTCCTGCAGGACCTGTTAGAGACTCTTGCCCTTCTGGACCAGCAGCTGAAGCTGCATATCCTAAAATGGCTATAATAGCGATAAATACCAATCTGTGGTTAACTGGATTCCAGCCCCAAGATCAAAGTCTGACTTAGAAACTTAGTCTTTGGTTCTGCATTCAATACTAATTCATAAGTAATTGAAAGAACTCCAAGTTTACAAAAAAAAAAAAAAAGAATAATAGATATTATCGTTCTTATACAGAGAACAAATAGCAACTTGTTCCTCTGAGTCCTATAATATTGGTCTTATATGTTGCTGCTGTCACCAGTTATGAGTTGTTCTTAACAAGTACGAGATCATCTGTAGTCAGTTGATACTCTGAGCCCCTCCCAAGCATTGATTTACTGATCAAAATGGATTTTTTTTTAAAATCAGATGTTTGGACTGAGAATTCATCATTGTGGTCCGTGCTTAGGGAAATTCTATGCCAATGCTACACTGACAGTTAACAGAAAAATGGTCAGAAGTTCACATAGATGTCTGAAGGTAAAATTTGTCCAAATAAATGACTTTGGGGTAATCTCATATCCAATAAAACTAAGCAGACTAAGCATTTGATTTTTTTAATACTGTTAATAAAAGCCACAATCAATCATCTTAAGAACGCTGTGTAATTAATTTAGCATTTATTCTATATATTGGGAAATGTAAAAGTTTTTTTTTCATCATTCTTTTTTCTGTTCAACACATTAAGTTCAATCGAAGAGCTCTGCTTTCCGGACTACAATTCTTTTTAAGCATGAAAACCTGCCTTGAAAGAAAAGCTGATAAAATCAAGTAACTGTTTTATATTCTACTTACTATAATCCAAAACACCCTAAAGGTGTGTTTTGCAAGAGCATTGTCACCAGTCAGATCTTGCTTGCTTATTCAGACAATCATTCAAATGTCCACAAATTTCTTGCAACATCATGCTTTTGGATACTGAGTTCCACTGAAATCCTAGTTTTATAGAATCATAGAATCATAGAATAGTTTGGGTTGGAAGGGACCTTCAAGATCATTTAGTTCCAACCTCCCCTGCCATGGGCAGGGACACCTGCCACTAGATCAGGTTGCTCAAAGCCTCATCCAACCTGGCCTTGAAGATTTCTAGTGATGGGGCATCCACAACTTCTCTGGGCAACCTGTTCCAGTGCCTCACCACCCTCACAGTGAAGACTTTCTTCCTTTAGATCTAACCTAAATCTACCCTCTCTGAGTTTAAAGCCATTGCCCCTTGTCATATCTAAAAATAATAAAATAAATAGGTGAGCCAGGAAGGAGTCGAACCTAAAATCTTCTCTTAAATATTTATATCTCTATCTCTGATATTTATATATATATAACTGTGAAAATTGTTTGATTGTAAAAGCAAAACCAACAAATCCCTGTAAATCCTAAGTATGTTGAAAACTTCTTCAGCTGAAGTCACTTAACCTCTCTGGGCATCACTTTACCCATTTCAAATTGGCTTCCTACCTTTACGAGTTGAGATCTAGGCTTTTACTTCTGCTTCACAATGCATTAGGGAACGTTGCTGCAGAACGCAGCTAGAGTCCTGCATGTTCTGGCTTCCTGCCTAGAAGAACAGGCTAGACAACACAGATTACAGTTTCCCCCTGATTTCCTTAAGGGTGCACACTGGATGTTTTCAGAGAAGCAGTAAAGTGCCCTCACTTGTGTTTCTCTCTTTCCTCTCTTGGCCTCCCCTGTGCAAGTAACGACTATTGGACCACATGCATGCATGTTCCCATTCACCTTTCAGCCTTTATGTGCACTTCTGTCAGGTCAAGGCAGGTTTGTATGCTGGTGTGGAGGTCTATGCTTTATAGGCATAACTTGTAAATGAGATACACATTATTTGAAATGCTAATATTGTGAATTTGGTATTCCAAATATCCTTAGGATGAAGGTTGCTCATTTGTTATAGGCTTTCTTTGCTTTCAAATGGAAAGCTACAAAAAATGATGGCATTTATGATTCTTCATGAATTAGGATAAAGAACAAACACTCCCTTGTTTTTATTATTGCTCAGGACCTGTTCAGTAAACAGAAGGGTTATTTAGAGGAAGAACTCGACTACAGGAAGCAAGCCCTGGACCAGGCATACATGGTAGGAAAAGATTGGTCATTGAATTTTCATGTTTGGACAAATTTGATAAAATACACGGTGTGAGTTTTTTTCTTTTAATTACAAGTAGGGTTCATTTATAATTGATTTATTTTTCTGCCAGACTAGGAAATCAAATACTACGTAAATGGAGATTTAGGAAATTGATTATATTATTTTGAAATGTAATGTTTTTGCATTGCATTTTTTATTCTAAGATATGGGAACATCTTGTTAGTACATCTGGAATGGGAAGAGCTGGTCTATGTGTGCACAAAATTATCACTGGTAAAATACATTAGAAATTACTTCAGAGCTTTTCCAATTTTGCTTTTTCCTAAGCATTTTTAAGTCTTACTGCTGTTAACCTATCCCAAGTTGGGAATGCCTATTCTTCCTGTGCGATTCCTTCCTGTGCCATCCTATCCAACCTTACCCTTCCTAATTTTCAAAAGGGAAGCTGTAACCTTGCCTCCTCTCAGGCCAAGCAACAATTAGGATTTTTCTAGGAATTGGTAAAACTACACACCCAAATTTGTTAATAGTGAGACTTCAGGGAATCAAAATGTAATGGCCTGAAGACTATTATGCATTGTGAGTATTTCTTATGGGGAAAAAGTTTTCAGAAAAGAAGCAAGATCTAGTGCTCAGAGCAGATAACAGAGATAAAATCAAGCAGGTTCTATTCTAGCACTGTGACCTTGGGCAAGCCATTTAACCTCTCTGTACAGCTGTTTATGTATTGCTAATATGGATAGAATTACCTACCTCACAAAGGTGTTATGAGGGCTAAAGGGATGTTGTCAGATGCTCTCGATTGAAATATTGTCAGTCTGGATGCTGGTTTTTAATAGGATCATGCTAACCCCAGTAATCAGGGAAACACTGCCATTGTTCCTTTCTTTCTTTACTCTTGGGAATAGTTCTTTGTATGAATGTAGAGTTCTCCTGGATGCTCTGCTTTGCAAAGTACTGCAGTTTTGGTCAGTGCATGAGAATCTGGTTAGCAGTCTGGCAAATGGCAAGGGGCTGATGGAAGATTAGCGTATGCAAGTATACAAGCGTTCCTCTCTTCATTGCTCATGACAACTTGGAACTAAGCCAGTGATGTAGGCTTTGAGCAATGGATGTCAGGATAGCAGGGCCAGAGACACGGAGACAGTAAGATTTGTGTTGTTTACACTTCTCCCTGTGGGCTTTTTATTTTATAGGATGGCTTAACAATTCAGTTGCAGTTGAAGAGAATCTGTTAGTTTGCATTAATTTCGTAATGTTCAGCATCAGATGTTGGGGTTTTGTTACGAATTGAGCACAGACCTATCATCTGAATCTGTCTTAAATAGAAGAAATCGATCGTTTACCAGATTGCGAATCATTGCCTGGGTGTAAATCCGTGCCAGGAGGCTAAGTGCACTCTGTGTGGAATGCTCCTCACTGCTCACCACTGCCGCTTTCTGTCTACCTGTCTGTGTCTGTCCTTCCCTCCTGCCTAAGGCTTTGCTCTCTAGCCTTCTCCTCAAGCTGTTGGTGGGTTGTTTGCTTGCTGGATTCAAACGGCAGCCTGTCTGTATGTGATTTGGGTTGCACTAGAAAATCCAGGAGCTGGAAGCCACGCTGTATAATGCCCTGCAGCAGGATCCAGGACGGTGGGCGAGCGAGTCACTGACGGAAGCCCAGAGAGAGGATTTGCGAGCTGCCGTGGAGAAGGTGAGGCGGCAGATCCTGCGGCAGAGCCGCGAGCACGAGCGGATGGAGCTGCTGCAGCAGGCACAGCAGGTAATCCCAGTTCTCTCTCCTCCTGCTCGTTGGTGTTACCTCTGTGGTTGCCACCACTGCCCGTACAACTGCATCCCTTCACCCCCCGCCTCGTTGAGTTCCGCCTAATCTGTCACTGCTCCCGCCTCAAGGAGGGGAGCGGCGTGGGATCCGGTTGCACTGGGCATGGCACGCACATAAAACAAGTCACTGGTTCACTACAAGGTCCTGTTGCACAGTCTGTTCCATGTGGGTGCAACCACACAGTCTGCCACAGGACTGACACCGTAGGGACCTTGTTGCAAGTTTAAGGTCTAAATTAGAAAAAGCCAGAATTGAAGGTTGTAAGAGTGTAACACTGTGAAAAGAGGAAAGGCAGAAGCAGCTGTTACAAGAATCCATTTTTTTATTTTTTCCCCCTTCTTTTTCTTTTAGCTATTTGTGAAGTCTTTTAAAATTATTTTTTTTTTAAAAATAGGAAATCATAGAAGTTTTTTAAGAGGCCATTTACAGGCTTTCATGCCTTTAGATTAGTTCAGAAAAGCCTTGTCTAAGCCACTTCCTTAAGGATGAATACTGATGACTTGAATTCAGACAAGTTCCTAGCAAGTTGTGGCAATTATTTTCTGAAGAATCATTTGGTAGGATTGCTAGTTTTTCTGTGCAAATATTCAGGGAGAGGAGAGAGCTGCATGTCTCAAGGTGTTAATTATTCCAGCAAGAATAATTGTCCCTAAGTATATTGGTTCCTCTTTGTAGTAACCTCTGGAAGATGCAGCCAGATGTCCTAGATCTTGAGGACTGCCCTCCAGTTGCTCGAGCTACTTTCTGTGCAAATCTGCAATCACATATCATAAATGCCAAACTCTGCTATGCAGGTGTGTTCAGAACGTTGTTTCTATCTCAGGTGTCAGTTACTGGGACAAGGACTGCATTTAGTTTACTTCAAGCCTCTCTCTGTTCAGGCTGGCTTTGTAGATGAATATGGATCATAACTGATGTAATACACTGACCTGGCACTGTTGTGGTCATCTCCTGTCATCCTGCAGTGATGAGAAGTGCTTACGGTGCCAGTGGTAGAGCTGAGCTCTGACTTCTAAAAATCTCCTTTCTCTCACTCCTTCACTCTGTTCCCTTGGCTTGGAAAACATAACATTGAGATCAGGAGGTGAATTTTTTTTTGTGGGTGACAGATCAGTGATGGTGTACAGAAAGCTGGAGAAGGTAGGCTCTAGCTGGTGCTAAAAGTGTAGTGTCAGAAAGAGAGAGTAGGCTGAATATATGAAATTTGGTAAATAAGGATGGAGCCAGAAGTTATTAGCTTAATGTTACCAGTGTAGCTGAAAATTAGTGAGATGGAGAGTTTTTTGCCAGTTTCTTAGTTCAATTTTCTAGTCAGATATCAGGAGTTTAATTTGGACTATGTTCCGTTTTGTCCCATATACTACTCGCTATCAGTCAGAGCTCATTAGGTGTGCATCTGGAACACGTGAGTCCAGTTCATGTATTCACGGATCACTCCACAACATACAGTTAAATATGATGAGTGTGGAAGAAAACTTCACTCCGACTCCGAACAAAAATGCTAGCGTAAACATAGCCTCGTTACCCATGGATGTTTGTGTACCTGTCTTCTGATCCATCTTATTCTGTGTCATTAGAGTTTCGTGTTGTGCCCATCTCATAAGACATGTTAATGTTACAGCCCTGCAGGACACATTAAACTGAATTCTACTGCTTAATAAGGAGCTAAGTATTTTAGTCATCTATTTTTAATGCCCCATAGTAGACAGGAAAAACAAAGGCAAAGATGGTAATTAATTTGCCTGGGATATGGGAGATTAACAGATTGGATTTGAAATCCTTTGCTCAGTTTCTTCTTCTCAGTTGTTTTCTTCTTGAAGGTTGTATTTGTGGGTCCTTGTGGGAACAGTGGTCAATGCTGATAACCTAGTAGTTGTATGCAAATGTCCACAGCTTAAAAACACGCAAATAAACAAAACCCCCTAGCATGGATCAGTAATGTCACAGGGCTAATTCTCCTAGTTTTACGCTCATCTACACTAGCAGATGACAGCAGCTGAAATGCTACAAAAATGAGAGCATACCTGTGCGGGCAGAGTCCTAAGATATGGATGAAGCTGCTGTAAGTATAGTACATCCCTAGATGCTGCAGTAAATGAATCCCCTCTTATTGTTCGCTGACATTGTGGCATTAGCAAGCATTCGTTACGCTTTATTCTGGCAAAACTGTAGTCTAGACCTGGTTGTGTTTATACAGTCTGCAGTGCCTTTATAGCATGCACCACCCTTCCTACTCTGCTGAAGTAGAAGTTATGGAGAATGAGGCAACAGCATGATGGACCAGCAAGACTTAATATGGAATGTCCTTGTTGCAAACACTCTCAAACTTTCCCTGAAACAGCAACCAGGTATTAAAGACTTAGAATTCTCTGAAATTCTGGAAGTTTAATCACTTCCGGAAGGCCTGTTTCTTTGCTTCCATTACCTTCCGGTCTGCCTGATACAAGGGCTTCAGAAAAACAACTCTCCTTATCTTGGCAGGGGCCGGCTGGCTACAACCTTCTCTGAGTCAGAGTTTCTGTGTCAGACATACAGAATGGGGGTCCCAGAAGATCTGATAATGGAGAAGGAGTAGTTCTCTCCTTCTGCGTGTAAATGATTCTTGACCATACTATAGGATGCAGAAGTGGCAAGGCATGTGATGAATGCTGAAGGTAGGTCTGCAGGGGTTTATTATAGGTGAACTGCTTCATGCAGGGACTTTGAGGATTTAGCTTGTGAGATGCTGGTTTTACAGAGCTGGCGAGTGTTCTTCCTGGGGAATGTACTGTCTGAAAGGGACAGGGACGTGCATAAGAAAGTGAGTAACCTGTTGTCCAAATGTGAGCCTGTCCTGTTTTATGTGTGCTTCTTTGTTCAGATATAAAGCCTTAGTTCTTAGCCACTGGGTATTGACTTTATTCTAGTGAAACATATGTATTTTAGGACATATAAATGTCCTAAATATAGGACATACCTGTTGTCCTATACCTGTTTTACATTGCTAGGTCTGTTCATTTTGGGCATGTATAGCCTCACATTATTGTTCAGTAGTATATAAATGGAACCATTCATATATACCCATTGTGTATTAAGGAAACCAGGACTCTGGAGCCAAATTAGACAGACTGTGTGATTAGATCTGCTTGCTAAGGCATACGATGCTTTTATTAAACCCAGAATGCAACATGCAGGTCTGGAGGACAGATCCTCAGCTGAAGCATATTGACAGTACAGCCTTTAAGTCAGAGAAGATGCTTTGATTTACACCATGCACTCTATTTGGAGGAGGTAAAATATGTTAATTAAAAATCTGTCACAAGCAGCTTGTGATATTTGCTTCCAGCCAAGGAGTATGTGCAGTTCAACTGCCTTTCCTGCGTATATTGTCATCCAAAATGTCTCGTTGTGCTACACTGTTATTATAAGCTTTTGTAAATCGGTGTCTGGTTTATTTTTAGCAGGACCTCATTTGAAAGTAACTTTTGTGCTCTAGTCAGTGCAGTGGAATAACTTTTGTGCATTTTAGAAAATATGAAGATCATTACTAGCAGGTTCTCTTTAGAAGGGTAATTTTTTATGTATATAACATGCTAAGCCATTTCGAGAGAGAGAGAGAAATGTGTTGGTGTAGATATAAAAACCATCTCTGAGAAAATATATTTCAAACAGAGCAATACAATGTGTCTCTGAAGTACTGATACCAACTTCTTAATTAAGCAAACTCAAAAAAACCCCAACCAACAACCCAACAACTGAAAAAAGAAAACAACCCCCAAAATCCACACAGCATCACGGTTACATAGCCTTGAAAATGTGTTGTGATTGTGTTATCTTGCTAAAATTAAGAAATATTTAAAGGTCAAATTATGCTTTATATAAACCAAATGGGATCTAACTTGAAATATGTTCCTGTTGGTTTGACTGTAGCTGCTTCCGGAGTAAGAAACTGTGGAAAGTAATCAGAATCAGGCATTAAATAAGGATAGTCTAATTCAAATTACAATGTTGGCAGTATTCAAACATGAAGAAAAATTATAATAGAAATAGAATTTATTCTGATTCCATTTTAAGTTATTTTAAATACAAAGAGAAGCTAGAAAATCCTTGAAGGACAGCAGATTGACACTCACTCAGTTCCAAAAATGGTTGCTGCCAATCAGAAAGAGTATGGGAGGCAGATTTTATTAATGTAATCCAGTAATATCCCAGAACAGTCTTATCTTTGTATAAAATCGTAAGAAAAAAGAAATAGAAAAGATGTGTTAGTGCATTGTGTCATCAAAAAGTGTGAAACATTTTTTGTTCTCTGAGTGTGTACTAAACTGGGGGTGTTTTATTCTAACTTGTGTTAGAATATTCTTGAGTGGAGCTTAGTTTTACAGAGTAAAACAAACCATCACTTCAGTTCTAGACCTGAATATAATACATTTATGGAAATCTAAAGTAATTCAAATTGCAACTCTAAATAGTTGGAATACAGCTGTAAATATTTTAACAAAGTTTTCTTTAAGTTACAGCATTTACTCCTATGAGCAAGTTGGATTATTCATTGGTAATAAACCCAGAAATTGTCACTTTATTTTCATGTTTTACTAGAAGATGGCAGAGAACAATCCTTTAGGACAAAACAGGTAAAACTCAAAACTGACCTCTATATGTCACGACCATGGTGAAGAATTCACTGCCAATTCAATGCCTCAGGCACTTTTTTTCACAGATAGCAAGGCAAAGTCAGAAGTGATGATGTTTTGATCCTGAAATGTCAAAATACAAATATAAATATAGCTTGAAATCGAAAAACATCAAACTAATTTCCTTCACTAACTTTCTTTGTTCCTTTTTTCCTGACCTGAGCCAAGTTCTTACTGCTTAAAGGTCGAACAAAGCTTTAGTGGATGCCATTCCTCCATGAGTTTTCCTTGCTGTCTCGTAGGTAGGACATCTTTTTCACACTG